ATTTCATTTATTTCTGCTTTGGTTTTTATTATTTCTTTTCTTCTACTGGTTCTGGGGTTTTTTTGTTGTTCTTTTTCTAGATCTTTGAGCTTCGAGATTAGGTTGTTTCTTTGAGTTCTTTCTTGTTTCTTGATGTGAGCTTCTATTGCTATATATTTTCCTCTTATTACTGCTTTTGCTGCATCCCATACATTTAGGATATTGGTGTCCTCCTTGTCATTCAATTCAAAGAATTTTTTAATTTCTTCTTTGATCTCCTCGTTAGTCCAGTGGTCTTCCAGTAGTGTGGCTTTTAATCTCCATGAGGTAGGATAGTTCCTTGCCTTCTTTTTATGATTTATTTCTAGTTTGATGCCTTCGTGGTCAGAAAAGATGGTTGGTATGATTTCAATCTTGGTGTATCTGTTGATGTTTGTCTTGTGCCCCAGTATGTGATCGATCCTGGAGAATGATCCGTGTGCGCTTGAGAAAAATGTGTACTCCGTTTTTTTTGGGTTTAGTGTTCTATAGATGTCTGTTAAGCCCAAATGCTCTAGGTCCTTATTTAGAGCTTTAGTTTCTTTACTTATTTTTTGTCTTGTTGATCTATCCATTGTTGATAGTGGTGTGTTGAAGTCTCCCACTACATATGTGTTTTCTCTGATGTCTGTTTTCAGAGAGGACAACAGTTGTCTGATATATTTTGGTGCTCTTTCGTTTGGTGAGTATATGTTAATGAGTGTTATTTCTTCTTGAAGTATTGTCCCCTTAATCATAATGTAGTGACCATTGGGGTCTCTTTTTATTTTTTTGAGTTTGAAGTCTGTTTTATCTGATATAAGTATAGCTGTTCCTGCTTTCTTTTTTGGCCCATTTGCTTGTAGGATTGTTTTCCATCCTTTGACTTTGAGCCTATTTTTATCTTTTGTAGCTAAATGTGTTTCCTGGAGACAGCAAAAGGTTGGGTTTTGTTTCTTAATCCAGGCTGCAACTCTGTGTCTTTTTATTGAAGAGTTTAGTCCATTTACATTTAGAGTTAATATTGATATGTTAGCATCTGTATTTGCCATTATGTTTGTCTTTCCTTTGATTTTATTTATTTATTCTTTTAATAACTTTTTTTTTTTTTTGGTCTTCTTTCGTTGTTATTCGTCCCTCTGAGGTTCTGGCTTTAGGATTCCTTGTAGTATTTTTTGGAGTGGGGGTTTATTCGTAATGAAATTCCGGAGTTTCTCTTTGTCTGGGAAGGTCCATATTCTTTCTTCATGGAGGAAAGAGAGCTTTGCGGGATAGAGTATTCTTGGTTGGCATCTGTTTTCTTGGAGTCTGTTGACTATGTCCCTCCACTCTCTCCTTGCCCGTAGTGTTTCTTCAGAGAAGTCTGATGTCAGCCTGATTGGTTTTCCTTTGAATGTTATCTGTTTCTTCCCTCTTGTCAGCTTCATTATTTTTTCCTTGTCCTGGATTCTTGGGAGCTTTACTATTATGTGTCTTGCTGTGTTTTTCCTTTCGTCGTGGAAGTTTGGTGTTCTTCTTGCTTCTTGTATATCAATTTTCAGCTCCTTCTTCGCATTTGGGAAGTTCTCTTCAATTATCTCCTGGAATATTTTCTCTGTTCCTACATCTCTCTCCTCTCCTTCTGGAATTCCTATAACTCTTATATTTCCTTTCCTCATGGAGTCAGATAGTTCCCGAAGTCTTTCTTCATTCTTTTTCCTTCGTACTTCTCTTTCCTTTTCTGTTTTGGTTCTTTTTATTTCTGTGTCTTCAAGATTACTTATTCGTTCTTCCATTTCATCTATTCTGCTTTCATTGCTTTTCCCAGAGTTCTTTAGTTCCTCCATTAATTCTTTGATCTCCTGCATTTCTCTTACTTCCCTCTTTAGGGACTCAATTTCCTTCTTCTGATCTATCACTTTTTTAATCATGGCAATTTTAAATTCTCTTTCTGGAAGGCTCAGAAGTTCTTCCAAGTCGCTGTCGTTGCAATCTGGGGAGTGGTTTTCTTTTTGTGGTGTGCTTCTTTCCTGAGGAGTTTTTAGGTTGCGTGTGGTTCTTCTACTCCCTACTGTCTGTTTTCTAATTTGTCGTATGCGTTGGGACACTGTGTTGCTCGGACTGACTGACATCTTGGGTGAACTTCTCCGCTCCCCTCTGGCTCTTCCAGGAGCCATCTCTGTCTTCTGGGGGAGCTTTCTGCTGGTTTTAGGCAGTTTTTACTGAAGAAATGTCCCTGTTCTCAAATGGCGAAGCGGGATGCAGTCCCTGCGCCTCCGGTTTCAGGCACACTCTTCTGCGCACCCGGTCTGCCCCGGACGTGGGTGCCTGCTCCCTCTGTGGGCTCAGACTGCTGGTCGGAAGGGGCCTGGCGTGGAATAACTTCCCGGCTGGCCACTGGGTCCTCCAGAAACCTTCTGCCCTTTTCAAGCAGTCTTAAGAAATGTCCTGTTTTATAGGGTGTTAGTGACTTTTTTTTTCCTGGTCGCTAGGTGGCGCCAGAGATCTCTCCTATTGTCCTTGGGGGGCTGTTTTTCGCCTCCCCCCACCCCGTGGGACAGAGAACAGAGCGGGAATGGTAGGGTACACCTCAACAGCTTTGGGGTGCTGTGTCTGCCTTGTGCCCCACCGTCGTGGAGAACCCACGCCCCGAATTTTCGTGCCCTGGGTCTCAGTTCAAAGCCCTCAGTTCCAGGACGCGGGCTGTAGCCCAGTTCAGTGGCGCGGGAATGGCGCCTTTTGCACAGCTCCCGTGCCTGGGCGCCTGGTTCCTGCTCACTCAGGGAGGGACCTTCACCTCAGTGAGGACCTCCGTGCGTCTCCCCACAAGCCTAGGTCGTCTCCCCGCAAGCCTAGGTCGCAGGCGCGGGGACCTGGGCAGCCGCGATCCAGGTCTGCACTTGCTTTTCAAGCGCGCCGAGCGCGCTGCTTTTCCGCGCCAGCTTACCGGCAGCCTGGGCTGTGTGCGCGTCTCCCGGGGTCTTTGTTCTTCTCTAATGGCGCCCGGAGCCGTTCGCTCACCGCCGCGGCGGATCCTGCAGGGTTCGCCTCAGCTCCCGTTCACGGGGTGTGGTGGCTGCAATAGTTCCTTTCCACTCACGGTCCCGCTTGCTGCGTCGTTTGTTCTTGTGGGCCGTTTTGGTTTGTTGTTTCCTCCTCTCTGCCGGTCGGAGAGTGCCGCCTCTGTGGGCGGGGGAGGGGAGCAGGGTTCTGCGCTTCCCTCCCTTCTAGTCCTCCTTTATGGCCAGTTTCTTCTTCGGGCAGTTCGCTGGCGTCACCCGTTTATCTTCCGTGTCCCAGTTCTCACTGGGACCTGCCGCTTTTCCTCCCTATTCACTTTTTTTAATGGGAGATCTTACTCGCAGCGTCTCCTCGCCGCCATGTTGCTCCGCCCCCTAATGTTTTTACATCATGGACTCTTTAATTCCATTTGTAAAACTTAATCTGGGGGAAAAAAACTGTAAAGTATCAAGTGCAGAAAAGATAGACAATTTGGTGAAGGCTTTGATTTTTACTAAGCTAAGTATGTTGTTTTGGCTTTAGTAATTAATCTATGATTAATAAATGATTAAATTAAATTAATTAAGAATAAATTAATTTATTATTTCTATAAAACTGGTGATAGGATAAAATTAATTCTCCAGACTTAATCAGCCAAAGCTTTTAAATTTAAATATAGTGATCAGTCTCTAGCTTATACAAACAACTTCTCTGAACAGAATGATGTAGCTTATAGATATGTAGACTTGTAATTTTTTCTAGAATTTCTTCTCTTGCTGTACCCACATTATGAATAGAAATCTCACATGAGTAGCAAATAATGTATTTATCCATGCATGTATCACTGAACATTTCAGCCTATTTCTCAGCCTGGACTTCTGCAAGACCACACAAAAGACATGGCATTACAAACAAGTTTTTCCATTCTTTTTTTTTTTTTTTTTCGTTTCTTTTTTGATTAATTATTTTTTTTAATAATAAATTTTATTTTTATATTCCCCATACAATTGCAACCCCCCCATTCTGACCCCAATCCCTCCCTCCCGCCCCCCCCCCCAAAAAGTGTCTCTGGTTCATAGTTTTTTGTTGATTTTGATTTTCACTTTCTTATAGTTATTCATTTTCCTGGTCCCTTATTTAAGTTTTCTAGATTCCTGCTATGCGTGAGACCATCCGATATTTTTCTTTTTCTTTTTGCCTTATTTCACTGAGCATGATCCCTTCCAGTGCCATCCATGTTGCTGCAAATTGCATGTGTTTATCTTTTTTGAATGCTGAGTAATATTCCATGGTGTATATGTACCACATCTTCTTGATCCAGTCATCTATTTTTGGGCATTTGGGCTGTTTCCAAAGCTTAGCTATTGTAAACAGTGCTGCTATAAACATAGGTGTGCAGGTGCTCTTTGGAATTGATGTTTCTGTGTCCTTTGGGTAAATAGCTAGGAGTGGAATTGCTGGATCATATGGAAGCTCTATGTTTAGTAGGTCCAGAAATCTCCACACAGCTCTCCATAGTGGTTGGACCAGTTTGCACTCCCACCAACAGTGCAGAAGAGTTCCTTTTTCTCCACACCCTCGCCAACATTTGTTGTTGCTAGTTTTTTTAATATGTGCCATTCTCACTGGTGTAAGATGGTATCTCATGGTAGTTTTGATTTGCATTTTCCTGATTACAAGTGATGTTGAACATTTTTTCATATGCCTGTTGGCCATTCGCATTTCCTCTTCAGAGAAGTTTCTTTTTAGCTCTTCTGCCCATTTTTTGACTGGGTTATTTTCTTTGTTGTTGTTGAGTCTCATCAGCTCTTTGCAGATTTTTGTGATCAGTCCTTTATCATTAGTGTTGGGTGCAAAAATGTTCTCCCAGTCAGGGAAATCTGGATAATAGGGGATTAACCTACCAGGAATTCTTTCAACAAGCACTTTTGTTTGTGGTTCGTGTGTGCCAGCTACTATGCTACTGCTACAAATAAAGATCAGATAAGCCAATGAAAGAAATTTTAAAGGATTTTGCTGCTCACCTGAGCTCCCTCTGGGGGTGGGAGACGATGGCCAAATATGAGCGGGACAGGAGAGCCACATTCTTGACAGAAGCGAGCAAAAGGATCAGATGGGCGGGGGGTAAGACAGTGGGCACACCTACAACAAAAGAGGTTCCTGATTGGCCACTTTTCTAAAGGTTCATAGGAAGAAGTCAGGTGAAAATATTTTTTAAAGACATTTTAAAATACAAAATAAAAAGCAGGTCACTTTCAGGGCTGTGAACCACATTTAAGACAGATAATGTTTCTCTAGTGATTTTATCCAGGTATAAGTGGCCTCATACCTGGAACCTACAAGTGCTTTCACCTGTAGGCTGGCCTACTTTATTTCCTGATAGTGGCAGGAATTTTATCAGCAGCCTTGATCCCACTTCTGAATGGGGCTCTCATTTGTAATATTACATTGTCTGAGAGTGAGCTCTGGTAACTCCAGTAATATCTAGGTTGCACTTCTCTGACTTCCCTCCTAACCACCATGCCCCAACTGAGTGACAAGTCATCTTGCCTGGTACTAGAGGGACACTGCCATTCAAGTCCTGCCCTTTTCTTCACTCACCTGGTTAGTCCCAAGGCTCTGAGCCTCAATAACACCTCTCCCCATTTCTTGGGCAGCTGGATCCCATTAGTGACCCTTACCTACCTCCCTAGATTCTGGATATGAGCCAAAGTGAATGGAGTCCTGGAACTGGGTTTCCCTAGGAATACCGTGGCTACCGCCATGCCTCTCTACACAGCTTGGGCCCCTGATCCTAGGACCTATCCCTCCGAATTACCCTTCAGCATCTATGATGTTTGGGTCTTCTGAACTGGATTGCTTGGTTACCTGCACCAGTCACTACCATAGCCTCTCAATAATGAAGATGACCACTTACCTTACACTATACACAAAACTTAACTCAAAATGGGTCAAAGACCTAAATAAGGGAAAAACTTCATGACGCTGGATTTGGCAATGACCTCTTAGATCTGATACAAAAAGCACATACAATAAAAGGAAAAATAGATAAACCTAACTTGATCAAAATTTAAAACTTTCATGTATCAAAGGATACTATAAATGGGAGAGAATATTTGCAAGCCATATATCTAATAAGGGATTAATAGCCAGAAAGTATATAGAACTCCTATAACTTAACAAAAAACTAACAATGCAAAAATGGGCTAAGAGCTTGAATAGGTATTTCTCCAAAAAAGATATCTAAATTGCTAAGAAGTATATGAAAAGATGCTCAACATCACTGCACTAAGGAAATGCAAATCAAACCCCGTGAGGTACTACTTCATACCTATAGGATGGCTATTATCAGCAAAATGGATAATAACAAGTATTAATGAGGTTGTAAAGAAACTGAAACTTTAGAAATTGCATTTATAAAGGGAAAGTACAATGATGCAGCTGCTGTGGGAAGTAGTTTTCAGAATTACCATATAATTCAGAAATCTGAGTCCTATGTAAATATCCAAAAATTGAAAGCAGGGATTCAAACCGATACTTGTAATCCAATGTTCACAACAGCATTATTCACAACAGACAAATGTCCATCAACAGATGAATGAATAAACAAAATGTGGTCTAAACACACAATGGAATATTTTCATCTTTATTATGGAATGAAATTCTGATACATGCTATAACATGATCAACCTTGAAAACATTATGTTAAATGAAATAAGGCAGACACAAGAAGACAAAATTGTCTGATTCCATTTATGTGAGGCAGCTAGAATAGACAAATTCATAGAAATAGAAAGTTTAATAGAGGTTGCTAAGGCCTGGAAGAATTCCGTAATGGGGAATTTTGTCGTAATGGGAGCTGACTTCTGTTTAGAATGATGGAAAGTTCTGGAAATGAAGAGTGGTGCTAGCTGCACAACGCTGTGAATGTACTTATGCCACTGATGTAGACACTCAGTGTCAAAATAGTAAATTTTATTTATGTATATTTCACCACAATGAAAGTATAAATAACCTTAAAATTGATTATATCAAATAAAAGTAATAATGCATTGTGGGGCTCATATTTCTAGAAGTAAAATGAGTGACCACAATAGCTAAAAGCTATTGTTACTCAGTTGCTACAAGTATACTGTCATAAGGTTCTTACCATATACATGAAGTGGTATCATACTACTGAAAGACAAACAATGGGGCCTCCCTGGTGGTGCAAGGCGTTAAGACGCAACCAATGAAGCTGTCCGCAGCCTCTGCAGCACAAGTTTGATCCCCGGGCGGCCAGGGAGCTACCCACCTGGCACAGCAGACCTCTCCTGTCTCACCCGCTGCTTCCCCTCAGCAGTGTACTTCAGTCAATTTGCCTGTTCTGTTCCCCACTCAGTCTCTGGTGAATCCTCTCACCCCCCAAACCTCTGGCCTGTACCCCAGCTCTTGTATGCATAAATAAATAAATCTTAAAAAAAAAAAGACAATGAAAAATTTAAAATGTATACTATAAACCCCACAGCCACCACTAAAACAAGGTCATAACTAATAAGCAACAAAGGATGTAAAAAAAAAAAAAAATGGAATCATAAAACATACCAAATAAATCCAAAAGAAGGCAGAAAAAAAAGAAAAAGGTAGCAAAAAATAGATAAGACAAACAGAAAACAGTTAATTTAACAGTTAATTTAAATTCAAACATATCAATAATCAGAATAAATCTAGATACACTCAACACCCCAGTTAACATGCAGAAATTGTCATATTTTTAAAAGCAAGACCTAACTGTATGCTGCTTAAAAAAAAAAAAAAAAACTTTAAGTAGAGAAATAAAAATAGGTTAAAAGTAAAAAAATGAAAAAAAATCCATAAACACTAATCAAATGAAAGTAGGAATGGTTACATTAGTATCACCCAAAATAGATTTCTAAAAAAAGAATTTTAGAAGGATAGATAATGATAAAGGGATCAATTAAGCAAAAGGACTTAAAAATCCAAAAGATTGGGCCTCCCAGGTGGCGCAGCGGTTGAGCGCTGGGTTGCGAAGCTGCCCACGGCCTCTGAGGCGCCGGTTCGATCCCCGGCTGCTCCCCGGCCACCGAAGGAGGGTACCACATGGCGCGCAGACCTCTCCTGCCGCCCGCTGCTCCCCTCAGCAGTGTACTTCGGTCCTTCTGCCTGCTCTGCTCCCCGCTCTGGCTCTGGTGAATTCTCTCGCCCTCCCGGCTTCTGACTGTACCCAGTGCATGTATAAACCAAACAAACAAACAAATAGATAAATAAGACATGCCTCTAGAAAATTAAAAAAAAAAAAAATCCAAAAGATTTATGTACTTAACAATAAATAAAAGTACATGAAGCAAAAATCCTGATAGGACTGTAAGAATAGACAAATTAATAATTATAGTCATAGATTGCAACATAACTTTTTCAACAAGTTATTAAACAATGGACGATCAGCAAAGACAAGACAATAATATAAACCAACTTAAACTAATTAACATTTATAGAACACTTATCCTAGCAAAATACACATCGTTTGAAATGCACATGGATCATTAATCAAATCATACAATATCCATTCTCTGACCAAAAAGGATCTAAATTTGAAATAAAAACCAGAAGATATAAGGAAAATCTTCAAATTCTGGAAACTTAACACACTTCAAAAATCCATGGATCAAAAAAGAAACAGCAAGGTGAGTTAGAAACATTTTAAACAGAATTAAATAAAAACACAAATAATGACATTTTGAGACTAGAGCTAAAGAACCACTCAGGAGGGGCCACCGTGGTGGTGCAGGGGTGAAAGTCTCAGCACTATCAAGCTACAGAGACATGAGTTCTATCCCCAGCCTGGGAGCTAACACACATGGCACAGCAGACCTCTCCTGTCTCTCCCACTGCTCCCCTCAGCAGTGTATTTCAGTCAGTCTGCCTGTTCTGCTCCCCACTCTGTTTCTGGTGAATCCTCTCACCCCCTTCCCCCCCAGCACCTCTGGCCTACACCCTAGTTCTTATATGCATAAATAAATTTTAAAAATCTTTTAAAAATGTCCTCAGGAGGCAGTGCCTATATATATTAAAGTTCTGAATGACTATATTAGAAAAGAAGGAAAGCTTCAAATGGGTGACTTCATTTTCTATATTGAAGAAATCAGAATATACAAACAAAAATGAAAGTGTTGATGAGGATGTAGAGAAACTGGAATTCTCAATGCTGGTGAAAATGTAAAATGGAGGGGCCTCCCTCCATTGGTGGCGCAAGGAGTTAAGCGTCAGCACTATAAAGCTATTTGCAGCCCCTGCAGCATGAGTTCAATTCCCAGCCAGGGCCATGATCCACATGGCGCAGCAGACCTCTCCTGACTCACCCACTGCTCCCCTCAGCAGTGTATTTCAGTCAATTTGCCTGTTCTGTTGCCAACTCTGTCTCTGGTGAATCCTCTCACCACCCCCGCCCCCCCGCACCTCTGGCTTGTACCCCAGCTCCTATATGCATAAATAAATAAATTTAAAAAAAAAGAAAATGTAAAATGGAATAACCTCTTTGGAAAACAGTTCGGCAGTCTCTTAAACAGTTAAACAAACACCTATCATTTGACGCAGTCTTTCCTCTCCTAGGCATTTACCTAAGAGAATGGAAAAGTACATATATTTGCCTTTGACAACTTCTGTACAAATATTTCACAGTAGCTTTATCTCTAACAGCTAACAAGTAGAAATAACCCAGCTGTCTATCCACGGGTAACTGAATAAACAAATTGTGATGTGTCCATACAATGGAATATTACTTTCAAACAAAAATAATGGAATATTACTCAGGAATAAAAAGAAATAAATATTTGATACCTACAACAAATGGGTGATCTCTAAATAATCAGGCAGCATGAAAGAAGCCTGGCAAACAAGAGCACATACTGAATGATTCCATTTGTATGTGGAACAAATGCAAACTAAGCTTTAGTGACAAGAAGCAGATCAATAGTTGCCTGTGGATGTAAAAGTGCACAAGGGTACAGTGTAGGAAACCTCTGAAAGTGTTGGATTTCCTCATTCCCTTGATTATGGTGTTAGTTTCATGTTATATACATAATGTCAAATGTACTTTTTAAATATATATATTTTTATGTTAATCATTCCTTTAAAATTTGTAAAAATTTAATTATAAAAACAATTAGGGGTGGACAAACATCATTGTTGAGTCCCATCCTTAAATTCTTTTTACCACATCTGTCTTAGTGGGATTTATGGAATAGTAAAGAGAATGTGATACTTACTTGAGAAAGTCTGTCTCCCTTTGAATTCTCATAATCTCTGTGTTTGTCAAACTCTTCTGGTCAGTTATGTGTGCGAAACTAGAGAACTAAAATTAAGAATACAGATAAAATCATGGCAAAAGCTATGTAAAATTCCATTAAAAACTTACTTCAGTGTTTTGTCTTACCACATCCAGAAGTCCTTTTAAAAACCATGATAGACAAAGTCATAATTATGACCCTAATACCCAAAATTTTACAAATTGAAGTACTATTCATAACCAGACATGTATATTTCACTAAAAAAATGTTTACAAGTAAAGATATCTGAGTTTAGGGGCCTCCCCGGTGGCGCAGCGGTTGAGCGCTGGGTTGCAAGGCTACCGGCAGCCTCTGCGGCGCCGGTTCCATCCCCGGCTGCTCCCCGGCCACCGGAGGAGGGTCCCGCATGGCGCGCAGACCTCTCCTGCCGCCCGCTGCTCCCCTCAGCAGTGTACTTCGGTCCTTCTGCCTGCTCTGCTCCCCGCTCTTGCTCTGGTGAATTCTCTCACCCTCCCGTGCTTCTGACTGCCCAGTGCATGTATAAACAGGCAAACAAACAAATAAATAAATAAATGAAACATGCCTCCATTAAAAAAAAAAAAAAAGTTTAAAGATATCTGAGTTTACCATAAGGCAGACCAGATTTTAGAATTTAAAAACCTAAGTTAGCATTCATTTTTCTGTAAGGTTATATCCCTGGGGAACTCAAAAGAACTCACCTATAAAAACTTTTGCAGCAACTACTAACTCTTATACAGAAACACTAAACTCGATTTATATATTTTTATTTGAGCATTCACTTTGTACCAGGCACTGTGTTTGATGCAAGGAGAGGAAAAAAATAAATATTATATGGTTCTTGCCCTTAAGGAGCTGAAGAAGGGTACATACAAAATATAGAAATGCACTGGTAACACATTTGTGTGTTAAGTCTCATAGGAAACTAGAGGAGGATATCATCACTTTCACTTACTCCGGTGAGAGGGGCTTCCCAAGCAGTAACACCTAAATTGGAACTGGGAGAGTAAAGTTTAGCAAATGGTCATAAGTGGTCAAAAGTGTGCCATTTGCAAAGGCACAGTGGCAGAGTAGCGTCTGGCCTATCCTGAGACTCAGTGGGCTTGATGTGGTCTAGAGGTCCACATGAAAGGCGTGAGACAGAAAAAAGGAAGGAATGTGATGTAGAGAAACTAACACGGAGGGTATAACAGTAAAATGTTCTTGGGGTTTTGTTGTCATTATCTCCTTGACATTTTGCAATGACCTTATGAGGTGGGTAATATTATCCCCATTTTATTTTACTTTTATAGTAAGCTTTTGAAGATAATTTCAAACTTACCAGGAAAGTTGCCGTATAACTTTTGTATACTCAGCTTGAATGATTGTATATGTTAACATTTTGCCCCTAGCTCTTTCATTCTCTCTCCCTCTGCATCGTGCGAGACTAAGCTGAAGTCATTATGTACTTTTACCCCCTAAATACTCTCTGAAAACTAGTCAGATCTCCCAAACTTGTCTCTGTGTTCCCAGTTTGGGGGGATTCTGAATCTCCAAATCATTACATATTGTTTTACTCTACTTTTTCCTCAGCAACAACAACTCTCAAATAACTAAGTGAGTAAGGTAACCTAAATTTTGTGTGCAAAGAGAAATAGTTCTTTCTGGACGCACTATAGATAATCATGGTTCTGTGAGCCTGTTTTTCTAAAAATACCTAAGACTGTTTTGTTATATTTATTCTTTAAAGGATACTTTTTCTCAAAAATAGTCTTCTAATATGGGCTACGCTGGCAAGCATTGCTCACAGGAGTTGACTGAGCTCATTACTTTATTGGTAACCAGATTATCATTTTTTTCTTTATTAATTAATTTTTTTTCTTACATTGTTCTAGTCCCCATAGTTCTCCCGCCATCGTATCCCTCACCAACCATCACCATGTCTCCTTGTATTCAACCCTCCTCTGGTTTTCCCCCCTCCCATCGAGCTGAGGCATACAGGTTATTACTCTTTTTGACGGGGTTTTCAAGTAGGAATTATTAGGTCTGTGTTCCTCTGGCATGGGCTTTGTGATCTTCCAGAAAATACAGTGAGTTCATATCAATTTCTTTGTAACCTCTCACTTTTGCTGTACTTGTTACAGCTGCCAAGATTTTTCCAGGGCTGACTTAAATTTATCTTGAATATTCAATTCAAATGTCATCTCTTCAAGGAAGCCTTCTGTTATCCCCTGAACTAGAACCACTCTTGTTTGTTCTCCATGTTCATTCTCTATTCTAGGGGTTCTCAGATTTGAATATGCATCAGAAGGGCTAATTAAAGCAGATTACTGGGCCCACCCCCATGGTCTCTGATTCAGTAAGTCTGGAATGGGGCCTGAGGATTTGCATTTCTAATGAGTTACCATATGATCCTGATGCCCCAGTATCTGGAGACCACACTCTATCCCATCATCTCCCAGCCTTATCTTTTTCATGGCATATCACTATTTAAATTTTTTTTTTTTTTTTTTTTTTTTTTTTGGTATCTACATGTTTATTATCTACCTGCCCTCACCTGTGATAAAATGTATGCCTCGGGAGTACAGGGACCTTTCTTGTCTAATACACTATTTCCAGCCCTGGAACAGTGGCTGCAAATGGTGAAAGGCTACGAGACATTGTCTTAAAGTACTTCATGGGAAGAGTAAAAATTAGCAGGTATTTAGTACCCTAAAGGCTCTCCTTAGAAGTTACCTGGGACTGATGGGCGTGTGGTATAGAATCTTCGTCTTCATGGTAAGTCTCCAGGGGACTGTCTGAGAAGCGAAGATCTTTCCAAATCTTAGGGTCAGTTCTTTCACCTACCTCGAGGTCTACAAGTATATCAAAAAACAGCATTCTGTGAACATCTGTAATTATATATGTAATCATGCAAATGTATCTTCATAGTTGGAAACCTTTTAATAAGTGGCTACTGTCATCACATTCTTTCCCTAGAAACAGCAACTATATAAGAAACCCTCCCCCTTCAATGAAATAGCACTGAGAAAGGAAAAGATAGCCCAGACTAAGAACATTTAAATCTGCCTTGCTCCATTCCACAACCTTCCACATCAAGCTGAGAATATAGGTAAATTCAATTGCAAGATTTGCACAAAAATGTTTGTCCCAAAGACACATGGCAGTTGTAAAACATCATACCAGCCTCCCTCTGAGTGACTATCACTTCTCATTTGCTGAGAAACCTTGTTTTCTAAGATCAGAGACTATCAAAAACTTCGCTGTTTGACGTTATAACAGTATGAACGAAATGTCTGACTTTTGCTTGGAGGATCTAAGACACTTTGACATAGAGAAGCGGCCTCAATTTCCAATCTGGTGCAGAGCTTCAGAGAAAGGTCTCTGAACACAGATCTCTTCCACAACATTCCACATTTCATAGTCCATACCTAAGAGTGACCAGTTCACACACAGCCCTGCCTTGTACCTATCAAAGTTCTGCTTTCACTTAAATTTCACCTAGACTCTTTTCACCCTTCCCCCAAAACTTTATAACTGCATCTTTTCCTTGGTTTGGTGAGAAGACCCATGGTTCCTGTGGTGTGTCATCTCCCTTATTGAAATGAGTTTGTAAATCTGACTTTGTTGGACTATTTGACGACCCCTCATGGCCTTAAGCTGTTAGTAAGGACAGCACTGAAACTCAAATTGCAGCCTATTCTCCTGTCCCAGTCTTTCTTATTCCAACTCTTCTGCAGACATGAAAACAAGCAGTGAAACTGTTTAGTGATTTAGAATATTAAACTTTATCTTTGATCTGTCACATCATACCTGGAAACTTTCTAAGATTAACACTCCAATCCAGCTTATTTTCAGCATTCTTATATTTCTTCCTTAGTTTTGATCCAATAAATCCATTTTTCAGTTCCTAGAAATGAAGAGATTGGTGATGGCCATTTAGAATGTAAAAATTTAAAGTTACATGGTAGGGGCATTGTCATAGCATGCATTTCTTACTGGAAAGCATTCACAGTAATTTTTACTGTGAAGGAAAATCAACAAGTTTGGAACAAAGGTAAAGAACTCACATAGGCAGAAGGCTCCCTGCATTCAGATTCTGTTGACACAGAAATTCTGTTAACAGAAATCACTATGTGGAGCCCATACCCCTTCCTGTCCTCGGCAACTCTCAGCCATTCACCAAAACAGGCATTACCTTATAATAAAATTTATCTCTTAAATTCTTGCCTTTCTCACACTCAAATTATACCTACCAGAGGAAATGAATTTAAAGTATGCATCTTACCATGTCTAGAAATGAACTCCTCCCCCCCAAAAAAAAACAGATGTCCACAAAAACAAATTTGTTGTTTCTGCCACGTTGTCTCAAATATCATTTCTCCTTTTTTGAGAAACTGTACCTTCCCCAACACTTTAACCCAGTCCCTACTTGGGGGAGGGGGGTTGAAGAAGCAGCTGGCTGAGACCCTTTTCTCACCAGTCTCTTCTTCCCAGTTAAACCTCATTTTTTGACTTCCAAGAATAAATCTTTTTTCCTTTACATAGTGGTGATTATTATTTATAAGCCCTCACTACAGAGTGACCTCTCTCTCACCTTACTCTGGAAGTATACAGCTTTGTGTCTGAGCTGCTTGGTTGGCAGCAAGTCTGACTAGTAGGCCCCACCAGGTCTAGTGGTCAAGACTGGAGGGAGGGAGCAGCCCTGGCAGGCATGAGTGTGAGTAATGACCAAGCGACCACCAGATTCAGGGGGCAAAGTCAGGGTGGGGTCAGACCAAGACAGAACAGGTATAGTAACTGTGCATACACAGGCCTTAAGCACTCTTCTCTTGGACTTTCTTTCCCAGGGACTCAGTCCCTTGTACCTAATTCAAGCCTGAGCATATGCTGATAAAGTTAGGCCAGGGACTAAAGTTTCAAAAATCATTGTTTAGAGAGTTTTATTTCATTCTCCATAGTTGAGGCTTTCTAGTTATTTGAGGATGAAGATTTAAACATAATAAAAGACCACTGAAGGCCTCTTCTAGTATAATGCATCTGTTCAACAAATAAACAGTTCCTGCCCGCTCCTACCTGGTCCTGCGCAAGGTGCTGAGCATGGCAGACATATGCTCTCTGCCACCTTAGAGCTTACAGTGAATGGGGGAGATAGGTAAGGAGCAAAATAATCACACAAAGTATTTTTTAAAAGGGCAAGACCTGGAGAGCTACAGGAGCAGTGACAGAATACTGCAGAACACAGCTAGGCTGGAGCATTACAGGGAGTCACAATGCAAGAAAGGATGACCAAGAAAGAAAGCAATCACTTAAATACCAGGCTGAAGGTTTCTGCTTTATCAATAGAAGTGTCACTGTAGAGACTGGGGTTTGGGTAACAGACATTTCATTTTTTCTATTTTTTTTTAACAGAGTTGTACATCTTTATTTTTTTTTGCATGCTCACAATTACCTTTTAATTTATATATATTTATTACATCATTCTTCATATTTGTACAATGTATGATTTCCCCTTGAAATTCCCACCACCAGTTCACCCATGCACCGTCACCATAGTCCCTTATGCTCTTCCCACCCCTGTCCTTATCCTCCTCCCTCCTCCCCTCAGTAGACAGTTCTAATGGGCATAATGGGCAGGGGTGGAGAAGGGCCTGGCCAGAGGGTGGGAAATCAGTGAAGATACTTTACAGTGGTCGCTACTAACCTCAATTATAAGAATCTGACCATGAGTGGAGGTGATGAAATGAAAGGGAATAAGTGACCACTAGGAAAGAAGGAAGCAAGAATGTGGTGACTATAAATATGAATGCATTATATTCACTACTTGCCTGTTTTGAAGGATCTTTGAGAATATTTTCCACATTGTCTTCTGATAAGACTGCATTTTGTGGTTCATAGTCCACCTGAAACACCTTTGTTACAATGCCACTCTGTCTGCAGTCTCTGAAAATTATTGTTAAATTAAATTTAAATTTTTAAAAGTCTTTGCTATACCAATTAAGATGACTCTATTAAAGTCCTTTAGTCTAGTGTCTAAGTTTACGATATCTTAAATTCCATCAAAATACATCTATAGCCTTCCTTTACCTTTTTCACATTAAGGATATATATTACTTTGTGACACCCTGCTCTAATATATAGTGTCATAAGACAAATCTGTTTTTATTTCCGGGTATTTCTACATTGTTTCTCACGGTTCTACTATTGCAAGAGAGAGCAACATGTTTAACTGTGAAACATGGATAAATTGAAGATTAACAGTTAAACCTACCATAGCAGCACCAATGGCTCACCTCTATCCTTTATTTTTCTAATCAACTTTAAGGAATAATTTACATGACATAAAATTCACTTACTTGAAGTACATAGTTTGATAAGATTTAGAAAATATGTCCAATTGTGCAACTATCACCACAATACAGTTTTAGAATAATTCTAAAACCAAAAAAATCCCTCCTACCTGCTTGTAGCCACTCCTTGCTACCTCCTACACCAGGCAACCACTGATCTTCCTATCACTGCAGATTTGCCTTTTCTAGAAATTTAAAATAAATGTAACCATGTACATATAGTTTCACATGTCTAGGTTCTTTCATAATTATCACTCATATAGAATACCACACAGTTGCACGTATTCTCAGTTTTCTCATTTTTATGGCAGAGTCGTATTCTGTTACATGGATATACAATGTGTTTATCCAAACTGCTCCCCAGTTGATTATTATTTAGATTATTTCCAGTTTGGGACCATCATGAATAAATGCTGCAATGAACATTCACATACAAGTTTTTGTGTGGATTTATTTTCTGTTGGGTAGATACCCAGGAGTGGAAATGCTGAGTTATATAGTGACTATTTAACTTCTTAGAAACTGCTGAACTGTGATTGTTCCATTTTACATTCCCACCAGCATTATCTGGGGGTGGGGAGGAGGTGTTCTTCTTTCTCCATATACATGCCAACACTTCATATTGTCAGCCACTGTTGACCATCTGTACTCTTGATGCTGTTCTTTGTATTTGCTTGAGATGTGTCTCTCATGTATTGGCATAAAGACTTGACTGTTGTAACAGAACCAAAACAGTAGTGAGTTAATCAAGAGAGAAGCAACAGGGTAAAATCAGTCCAGAGTGGATGCTGAGTTGCCATGGTGACAGGGGTATGGTGCCAAGTTTCTGCCTCATTGCTCAACCACTGCCAGGACACTGCGCTTGTCTTGAGGATCCAATATGGCTGACCACCATATTCCCATTCCAGCCAGCAGGCCATGGAGCCCACCTCTTCCCTTTTCTCCAAGGGCACAATCCAGAAATTGCTCCTATCACTTCTAAATACAGTCAACTAGTCACAACCTGCTAGCAATGGCTTTAACTAGCTGCAAGGAGGATTAGGAAATATCATTCTTCTGGGCAACCATATGGCTGGCTAAAAATCATGGTCTCTAGTAATTTAGAAGAAGGGAAACACAGACATTGGGAGACAGTTGAAATCATGCCGCATCATCATGATTGCACTTGGTGTATTTATTTGCTATGTTTTAACTCCTGCTCCCCCAATATTTGTTGAAAGCTCACAGCTGGAACACAGGGGATTCTGTTTGATCAGCCCAGGCTTTTTAGTGCTTTTTATATTACAATTGTCTTCTTTCTTCAGTGTTTTTCTGTCTGCTTTGCCCTTATTAATTTTCATATTGCTATTTGGCACATTTTATCCATTTTATAAGCATTTCTTTTGTAATTTCTCAGATTTTGTACACACTTGCATTTTACACTTCCTAAAATTTTTGAACCATAAAGTAAATAAGTATCCCCCAAATGCTTAAGCCTTTAAGTAAATATTCTGAATGTACAAGTATCATTTCCAAAAGAGTTTTAGTTTTAAGGTACATTTTTAGAAGGAGAAAAGTCCTCAGAAATATGCAATTTTCCTAATCAGTCACTACCTATCAGTTAGTGACAATATTTAAGAAATAACATGCTGGGCTTTCTGAGATCAGGGGATACATGCATGTTAACTGACCAGAGTGCTAAGGGATGGCTATATTTGAGGGAAGCATATGTTTTGTTTTTATTTTTCATCTCTAAAAATATTTCGTAGCATGGTTAAAAACATTTTTTGAATGATGACAGAATTTCTAAACAAGAAAGGGTATCAGTGTTTATGCCTTATAAGCCATATTTGCATCTTGGAATGACAATTTTATTACCAGCCTTCCTTTCATGAAAAGCAATCCATATTTACGAGTTTTGACTGGGAATCAGTCCCCACTGCAATTAAGTATAAAAAATATCTTCCATCATTGGAATGTGACCAGAATTACTTCAGAAAGAATTGATTAAAATCCTCAAATAGTTTTTTTTTCCTTAACAAAAAAAAAAAAAAAAGACTTCTTTGGACCTCCCCGGTGGTGCAGTGGGTTGAGCGCAGTGCTGTGGAGCTGTCCGCCTCCTCTGTGGCACTGGTTCGATTCCCAGCTGGCCAGGGAGACACCCACATGGTGCAGCAGACCTCTCCTGTCTTGCCCGCTGCTACCCGCAGCAGTGTTTTCAATCCGTCTGCCTATCTGCTCCCCCTGTCTCTGGTGAATTCTCTCACCATTCCACACCTCTGGCCTATACCCCAGGTGTATAAATAAATAAAAGTATCATTTCCAAAAGAGTTTTAGTTTTAGTTTTAAGATTGCATAAATAAAATTTAAAAAAGATTTCTTTTATACACTACAAAAAATAAATAGTATTTTGGCTTTTTAAATCTCTACATGGTATTTAGGATGGCAGCCCCCAAAAGTCCTCCCTTCACATAATTGTAAATGCAAACCCTCTTCTGGGGTGAATATTCTTGAATATTCTCAGGTTGTACCCTGCAGACTTCAGCCTCCGCATGTTTATACTGGATTAGGAATAATCCTAAAACAGTATCATTCATAACATAGCAGTCATTGCACACGTCAAATCAAAGTACAAATCAAGATAATGGCTGACACTGTAAGCCACTGTAAGAGACATGAATGGGTCTCTCATTCATGTCTCTGCCAAGTATGTCTACATGTCTCAAGAGCATGTCTCCTTCCATGTCCCCCAAGATCCTTGTGCAAGTCCAAAGTAGAGAAGAAAATGTGTGACTTCTTTACATGTCTCTCTGCTCCACATGCCTCTTCCTGTGTCTTCTCCTTTCCAAGTCTAGCTTCCCCTTGCCACTCAGCTGCATCCCTCATTAGGTGGGGTAGGGAATATGGAATCACCACTTTTTATGAAGACCCCTCTCTGTATACTTTCACCAATGAATCAATGCTTACTCCTTGCCTACTTTCACCAGTGTCTGTGGAGTCCTCTTTTCAATTTTATCAGCGTCCCAAGAGCCCTTTCCCAGAATTCCTAGGCAGAGCCCCTTATTCTACACTTCTGATTCCCAGTGGGTGGAGCATTGGAGAGTGGCGGGTTCACTCCCAGATTATCTTGCCTGTGTTGTTGAAGGTGGGATCAGACTGGATCCTCTCTCCTGCCTGGTGACACCACACAGAGTAGAAACCTGGTTCCCATCCACTTGCTCAATCCTTTACAGTCCAGGCTGCTGCCTCCATAACAGCTGGCCTCTTTCTTAGGCCCCAGTAAGGGTATTCACCCACAGACTCCCTCTAGAAAGGAGTCCAGAAACTAGCTCACACTACCCACTAAATGGAAGAATTTCCTGAGTATAATCTCAATAAAGAATTAGGAGGTTGAAGAGAAAAATCCTACTTAGAACCCAAATCTCATTTGAACACACACAAAGTTTTGTTAGGATGGAATCAGAGATTTTAAAATCTTTGTTATCTTTAGGAATATGGTAACTTGACATAAAAAAAAAAATTACATATAGCTCTAGCCTTTCAACAAAATACCAGGATTATGCAGAGGATTGTAAAGGCATTATGCAACTGGATCTGTATAAATCTGCAGTTTGGTCTAGGTCAGGAACTGAAATTGGGTGTCAGGTAATTTTCTGTTGTGGGGGACTATTCTGTACATTATAAAATATTTAGTAGCATTCCTGGCTTCTACCTACCTGATGCCACTAGCACATTTCCACCTCCACTTATGGAAATGAAAAATGTTTCCAGACATAGCTAAATATGAAATTATGCCTAGTTAAGAATCTTTGCTTTAGAAACACAAATAGGTTGAGTGAAAACTCTTATGCACCCAAGTACAAACTTTTTAAATATGAGGTATGACGTATGAGTTGAATTATAGAACAGCAATCTTTTAACTCTCTGATAAGAATCTGAATAACAAACAGTAACAGCTACCACTTGTCTAATGTCAAATGTATACTAAATGTATTATTTCTTATCTTCATAGTGGTTGCCAAGAAGTTATATTACCCTCATTTAGCAAATTATGATACTGAGCATCAGGAAGTTATATAACTTAACCAAGGTCATGCAAAGAGTAAGCAATAGAACTGGGATTCAAATCCATATCAACAGATCGACAAACTCCATTCTCTTTCCCATACTTCAAGCTGCCATCTCAAAGCAGTGAGCTTGCCTTTATTGCTGCCTGTTGAGATAATATTGTAACAGGGTGGTCCCCAGGAAAGGGGGAGGTTCCAGGTTCCCTTCCCCACCCAAATGGAGGGTGGAGCGGAGCAGGAAGAGAAGAGGCCGCAGAGGAGACTGAGGAAGGAAGTAGGATGGAGCCAGAAGGAGACCTGGAGGAGGCGCATGGAGCCTAGAGACACGTGGAGAAACTGCGCTTGTCTTTTGGTCGTGGACTGGGTGACACAAATGTGGGTGAGACCCGTGGGGAGGTGACAATGGCAGCTTTTATCTTGATTTTGATTTTGCTCTTTTCCTTCCGGGCTTGTCTGGTTGTTTCTGACCCTTTTCTGTGGGTCCCCACTGGAAGATGCTTTAAACTTGTGGCAGGATTTGGGGCCTTGCTCTAGGCCAATCCCATTTGGATGGAGTTTTACCCACGAGGGGACGGGTAACTTTGGGTTCTTAAATGAGAAACTAGATTCTTTGCCTTTCCTGTATTGTTTCCAAATTGTATTAAAGTTCCTTCCCATTAAAGTCTCATATGTTTTGTGTTGATGCAGTGGATGACAGAACCCATTTAGAATAGGCAGGTTTGCAGGGTTTGGGCTGCCCCTCTCTCTGCCCTGTAACAACATCAGGATCTTTCCTTCTACAAACATATGCTATCTATATCCCAAGGGGCTGCAGGTATACGCCCATGAGATGCCTTAATAATTTGACATTAAGTTTATCAACATTGTTGTAAAACTGGAAAATCCCTCTTGGTTCTACTGAAGAAAAATGTTCTCAGAGGACTCAGACTACCTTCAGTACAATGCAGGTCTATATTAGACAAAAACTACCTGCTAGTGCCTTTTGCAAACTGAGATGGGACAAAAAGGGACTGGGACTATCCTTCATCCTGATCCTTTTCAAAAAAAGACCTTTACTGTGTCCTAGGCAGTCTGCTTCTGGGAAGGGGGGCTTCTAATGTGGATGGCCTTGCCCATCACTCACTCCTGGCAGCACCACCAGTCCTGCCTTCCCAGCTCTGGTCCTCTCCTGTCTCTAGTTTTGTTTCTATGCATTTTTGAACAGTGTGACAATATTAAAGTATATATATTTCAAATTAATAAAGTGTAATCTTAGTTCATAATTTTTTCATCTATCATAATTATTTTCCTATATCATTCAAAATTCCATTTTTCTCTTAATAAGTCAATGACCATTAATTGTTAACATTCTCATTTCAAATCCCTTTCTCCTTAAGAAACTAATTAGCTTAATACCTGGCAACAGCAATATAATTTCCACAATGATCTATTTTATCGCAAATGCATGCAAGCACTACTTTTTCTGTCCTGAAAACTAAAATGCTTTTTGTATAAATGCTTTCCCTAGCCTGAGCACATCTGAAATACTGAAGTGCTTTTCCAAACAGACACTTAGTGGGCACAAAGCAAGAACACGAGAGGCATAAAGAATAACCTTATTTTTTAGACTCTTTGGGAAGTTTTAGTAACTCCTTTGAACTACACAGTTAGCCACTAATTACTACTTCATTTTATTACTACCTGCAGCTTACAAAAGGCATCAGAGTATTTTGTTTGTTAACTTTTAATAAATAATTGAGATGACTTGTTTTGATGAAAGTGTTTTGGAAAATGCAAAAATACAAAAATTCTAATATTTAATAATCAATAATAATGTGTATGAAAGAATTGTTTTGTTTTTATGCTTTTCTTATAATTTCAAATACCAAAGCAATAATTACCTTTGGTATAGCATTTGTAACTCTCCTCAAAAAGCCATGCAGCAGTCCAGCCACGAGGGGGAGTTTGGAGTTTTTTTTTAAAGTACCTGAGCCAGATGGTCACCTGTTTGGGGCTAAAAGGGTTCCAAAAAAATGTGGCCAAACCTGTCTTGCTATGCAAAAGAATTCGAACTTGCAAAGCATTTAAGTTTTGTTTTGTTTTGTTTTGTTTTTTTACTCTTTAGCACAGATTGAAGGCTTCCAAGTGGAAGTGGTGTTTATTCGAAAATGGTAAAGTCACTGAGTAGGAAAGAAAACTGGAAAAAAATAGTAAATAGCTAATGCCCAACAAACTAAAATGACAAACTTTGAAGATCAATTAAATCAATACAAAATAAAGAATGATGGTGGTGGTTGTACTATGTGACCTTGACCTCGAAAATAAAAGAACACTCCATTAAAAGCAATATTTTCTTCAGAACCAGGTGAATCTCTTTAATGGTCCCAAACTCTGAAAAAACTCTTCCTTACTAAAATCCCAATGTACAATATAATCCAAACTAAAACAGTATCAGTATACAGCCCTTTGGTGAATTGTACCCTTATGATTTGTGTACTTTATAATATACCTCGATGAAAGATGAGTAAAACACAAACGTTCCATAGGTATGCTGAAATTAAAGTAACTATTTCTTTAATGCCTATCTAATCCAGCACTAGGTTGAGTAAAATTAAATAATAATAAATAATTAAAATTAAAATGTCATATTATTCATTATTTTAATCATCATGCTCTTAACTTACTTAGAGACTGCAATAGCTTTAACTTGTATTTTTCCATCAGGCAGAGTAATAGGCTTCTTATACTTAAATGTATTATTTTCCCCATGACCAATCCTCCTTAGAACTTCAGGTTTGCTGCCATCCAGGGTATAATATATATTGACATCTGGAGTGTCTGAAAAATCCAAAACAGGATAACTGTAATTAACATTAAAGTAGCAAGTCCCTGAATAAGGCCTATGGGTCAGTTATTTAATGATTTTTTTTCTTTATTATAGAAATGAATAACAACTAATAATAAAATTATTTCTCTGTGTCAGGCACTTTGTTTTATATGAGTTAGCATGTTCCATCTGTATAACCCTATGAGATAGGGATATTTTATACCCAAATTATAGATAAGAAAACTGTCCCCAAACGGTTAAGAAATTTGTTAAATAGCAGAGTTGTGGTTGACTTCAGCTAGGTTGGATCGATAGCCCATGCTCTAGAACCACTTTTTATTTTGCCTCTCCAACAGAGCACTGATAAAAACAGAGTAGGGTCAGCTTTAAGACTACAACATTCATTTAGAGAGCAGAGGTTAATTTTTCATTTTTTAAATAGTGTTTAAGAAATGTTTTTATTATATTTTATTTGGACTTGAAGATGATTTATTTTTGTTTTTTAAATTATTTTATTTTATTTTTTAAACAGTATTTTTGCTTCCCCGACCCCTCAGGTTGAGTCCCCATAGAATTTCCTCCCCCAAGCTACCAGGGCACCATCACCACAGTCTCCTGTTCTCCTCCCTCCCTGCCTCTGATCCCTCTTGGAAGATGATTCTTACACTTCTTGAGAAATTCTTAAAGGTAATATGTTCATATGATTGAGGAAGATTCAAAAAGTCAAATAAAGAATATACAATTGAAACTCTCCATCCCACTCCTGATATAAACTGGCAAACACAATCCATAACATCACGGCTATCCTTTCAAAAATATTTTATATCCATACATAGGCACATATTGTTATTTTCCCCTTCTCCTTCAATGTAAATGATGACACACCATACCCTATTCCAGGCATCTCTTTTTTCATTGGACAATATATCTTGGATAGTGTTCTCTGTTGGTACATAAAGAGTGTACTCATTCTTTATCATGGCTGAATCGTATTCTCTTTTCACAAAGGTAACTATAATTTAGCCAGTCCCTTACAGATAGACATTTAGGTTTTTTATCTTTTTCCTTTTCTTTTTTTCTGTCCTATTACAAGTAGTAAGTGAAAAAACCCTATAAAGAGTTCTTTTTATAAGTATATCCTCAAACCATGTAGAACAAGTACTGCTAAGTCAAAGATACATGCATTTGTAATTCTGGTGAATTTCGCCAAACTTCCCTCCATGGATGTTGAAACAACTCATACCATAACAAGCAAAGCATGAATGTGCCTGTTTACCCACCATCTCATCCATACAATGTTATTAATTTTTATTTTCCTTTTGCCAACTGCTTGGATAAAAATGATGATAATAGTAACATCATCAATAACAATATCTTGTAGTTTAGCCAGAAAGAAAAAGAAAAATACCGGATGGTCTCACTCATAGCAGGAATCTAGAAAACTTAAATAAGGGACCAGGAAAATGAATAACTATAAGAAAGTGAAAATCAAAATCAACAAAAAACTATGAACCAGAGCCACTTTTTGGGGGGTGGGGGGTGGGGGTGGGAGGGGAGGGCTTAGGGTCAAAATGGGGGGGTTGCAATTGTATGGAGAATATAAAAATAAAATTTATTATTAAAAAAAACAATATCTTGTAGTTTTAAGTTCATTTCTGGCATTGTAAGTTTCTTTCATTCACTCAACAAATGTTTATTGTTCCATATTGTTCTTGTTTGTTTCTGATTTTATGTTTCCATATGCTAGCAAGTAATGGAGTACCTAAAACTTGTGAGTCAATCCAGCCATACTGTTCAAGAGCGGATGAGGTATATGTGTGCATTATGATCGCTTTTTTAGTTATATCTGAAGGGAAGGTTTGCAGGTAGACAGCTATCCCCCCATGTCTTGGCTCTGCCTCCTAAAGTCTGTTCTATACATGCATTTGTTCATGTTTTATCTATAAAATGTTCCCTTTCTTTATATTAATTATGTGTGTGTACATGTATGCAACTTTGCATGTGCATCTCTGGCATTACCAAGAAATACATTCACTGCTTTATTTCCGTGTGAATAGTTAATATTCATTTTGGCATTACTATATGCCAGGCCCTGTGCACTTCACATATCAACTTATTTAACTCTACAGTGCCTCCAAATGGTAGATATTACTATCACTATGTAACAATGACGAAACTGGGATTCAGAAAGGTTAAGTAATGTTTCAAAAGTCACTAGAAGTTGACAAAGCCAGGATTCAATCTCCAATCCATCTAACTGGAGAGCCTGTGTTAGCAGGTCAAAAGTATTATCCCAGCAAAATAACAAAACTCCTGGGAAAGCTTGGAGAAGCACCAGACATCTTAACCTTGGCTAAGGTTAGTCAAAGCATTGCTGCAACTACATACCTATACAGATGAAAGTGTGATCAGCGCTAACCATTTAAGTCTAAATAGATACCTCTCCATAGGTTATCAAGTACCACATTGTGTCAAATTTTGAAAGTTCTACAAGCTTCCCAAGGTCTTGATTATAGAAAGCATGGAAAGAGGTACATCAACAACCACTGAATATAACAGCAAGACAATGTTATTTTAAATTACTTCAAGTACATCTAATTCTTACCTGATCTCATTTCCAAAAGTGTATTGTTATCAATTTCATGGTTGGCTTTTCCAGGTTGAGGCACTCGTAGTGGTATTATCTGAGGGACACACACTGAACCAGCAGTCATTTTCCCTCCTTACATTATAAAGATGACTATGAATTCCAGTGAGGACCTATCCTGTATTTGAACATAAGAATTGGAGAGAAGCACCTAGTAAAACTAAATGGACTATTGTTTCTATACCAACTACAAATATTATTAAAGTTTGAAGTGAACTATTAAAAGTACAGCTGTACTTTTTTTAATTTCCCTCTTCCTTTTTTAAATTTTTGTTTAAGATTTATTTTTTTTTATGCAAGAACTGGGGTACAGGTCAGAGGGGCAGGAGGGTGAGAGGATTCACCAGAGACAGAGCAGGGAGCAGAACAGGCAGACGGAAACACTGCTGAGGGTAGCAGCAGGCGAGACAGGAGAGGTCTGCCACACCATGTGGGTATCTCCCTGGCAGGCCAGGAATCAAACCCATGCTGCAGAGGCTGCGGACAGCTTCACGGCACTGCGTTCAACCCGCTGTGCCACCAGGGAGGCCCACAGCTGTACTCTTGTTGTTGAGATATTGTATGGGGTTTTGATTATCTAAATAATTACCTCGCTTCTGGAAAAAAGAGCATGAGGGAAAGGGGTGAGGGCATGAATTGTTTTACATGAGCAAATTAAATGAATAAATCAGAACAGAGATCATCACTAGTGATCTGACCAAAGGTCCCTCTACATCATTATTACCCTTTCCTGCTTCTCACTAGTTTGCCACCTCACTTGGCTTCAGGGCAAGTCATCACATCTTCTTTAGGGCAAGAAGAAGTCATGCATGTAGCATGAAATGTTAATTTAGAGGCAACTCTCTTGGGAAAACTCCAGGTTAGATGTACTGCAGTTGTTGCCAACTGGTTCTTGCATTTGAAAGCTGCAAAGAAACCTTAGAAAGATAGCTGAGTGTCATACCTTGGTTGAAAGAAAGTTGGCATAGATATAAACAGCGAGCAACAAACACAAAAGTCTCCCACCTGCATCAATTGTATTTATAAATAAATGGGTATGGAGGACTTACTGATCTTTTTCCTGGAAGGTGTCATAATTTTTAATACATACAGGATTCAAGGCAGGTGGGGAAAAGTCCTCATCTTAACAAAGCAACTGTTTACATCTCCGTATGTCCTTTTCAGATCTCAATGATTTTGGATATGCAGGCTTTACTCAGTTATAAGCTATACATTCATTCCATTTTTACAGTCCACTTCTTGTTAATTACAATTTTTCATGTAATAAATAATTTATCAATTTGTGGTGATATTTAGGCGATAACCAGTTTCTTTTGAGCACTGGTTGCTGCAATTCTAAACTGTGCTTCTCTGAACATCTTTATGGTTTGAGTTTTGTCACAGATTGTACTACCAAAAGTGGGATAACTAAATTTAAGGAGTGAAGTTATTGCCTGGTTGGTTAGTTCCAGGTAGGAGGTCAGGAATTTAAAGCGCAGATACTCATATAGGAGCAATTGTCCTTACAGGCGGGCTGTCAAGCTGGGGAGTGGGGGCACGGGGGTGGTGGTTTTACATTCCCATTTAAGAGAAGCAGTTAAAATAATGTTGGGAATAAGGCCAAAATAAAAATAGCTGTAGAGGGAGCAATTCACATGAGGAAACTAGGAGCTGCCCTTGGGAGCAGCTGGGGGCAGTCAGTGTGCCTGAGCAAAGGGAATCAAAAAGTAGACCAATCCGATAAGTCCAGGTGGCAGTGTGTGCGCTTGTGTAGGGGTCAACAACACTCCCCAACTCGGTTCTTCCAGTCCTTCCCCCTCCTATAGGGACTTGCAACCCCCTCTGGCTCCCGCGCTCGCCCAACAGGGGCAACTATAGACTCCAGCTTCTTTTCGGCTGGAGTAAGGGAAGCCCGGCTTCTTCTCTCGTCCTTGGGACCCCCGAGATACCTCCGCGGTCCGCACCCAGGTAGCCCACCTCTCACCACCTCTTGCGTTCTCCGTCTCGGCAGCCCGGGTTACCAGAGACGCCGCGAACCGCGCCCGGCCCACCGAGAGTAAGGCAGGTGATTGGTGGAAACCAGACTTCCTGGCAACCGGCCCCGCCCTTACCGCCTGGCCCGGAGACGGGTACCCCTCGCCTAGGCATCTAATGATATGCCTTCACAGAGATTGTACAGTGCTAAAAGATGGCGACCCAACTCAAAGTGAGAGAACCAGCTTCGTTCGTCTGACAGACATTAACATTCTGGAAAACAAAAATAAGAAGATGTAGCAGGGCGGGAGAGTGAGTCAGGACAGGCGTGACTTGGCCACCTAAAGCCGACAGACGCAGAAGGACCCGCTGCGACAAGAAGAAGAAGGACCCACGTCACGACCCAGCGCCGTCTTTCGGTGTTTCCCAGTTTGGCTGTTCTGCGATTCGGTTTTTTTTTTTTTTGCCTCCCGGTGCGTCTTTTCACCGGCGGGCCGGGACAGCTTTCTCATGGCGGAGGTGAAAGTGAAGGTGCAGCCGCCTGACGCGGATCCGGTTGAAATAGAAAACAGGTAAACCAGTGAGGCTCCGTTCCGGGTTGGAAGACCCCGCAGGCGACCAGTCATTCGGCCGTAAGACCCTTTCTGGGCCTCCCTGGTGGCGCAGCGGGTTGAGCGCTGCGCTGTGAAGCTGTCTGCAGCCTCTAGCGCCAGTTCGATCCCCGGCCGGCCAGGGAGATTCCCACATGGCGCGGCAGACATCTCCTGTCCCGCCCGCTGCTCCCGTCAGCAGTGTACTTCAGTCATTCCTCCTGTTCTGTTCCCCACTCTGTCTCTGGTGAATCATCTCACCCTCCCCCGTATCTGGCCTGTACCCCGGCTCTTGTATAAATAAAAATAAATCTGAATTTTTTTTTTAAGACCCCTTCTTGGTAGTTAACGGACCAAGTTCAGTTCAGTGGGCTCGAGAAAGGAATTTCGGGGTTTGGATCCTCCTCCCAACCCTGGAGAGCAAAACTCTTAAGTCCAAAACGAAGTTGACAGTCTGCTGTTATGCGTAGCTGATCTTGCCCTGATGCTGTATGGGAAGTTGTGTTCTTGGCGCTTGACTCCTGCATTATGATGGACGCTCAGAGAAAAGATTCGGCATTTCCCGAGCAGTACTGTGGATACATGTTCTAATCCAGGACACCTCTCTTTTTTAAGGAAACTCCCATAACAATGTTTGGGGATGTTAGGGTGCAGTTGTGATTACTAGGCAACATAAAGCCAGGTGGTTCCGGTGCAGTATTTTAGGTCAAGAGTATAGGGCACCAAAACCTCGCCCAGTTTAATATTCTTTACCAGTGGTTTATTTTTAGGACACTACATAATTTTTTAAGTTATTTATTTATGCATACAAGAACTGGGGAACAGATCAGAATTGTAGGGGGTGAGACGATTCACCAGAGACAGAGAGGGGAACAGAACAGGCAGACTGACTGAATTAGACTGCTGAGGGGAGCAGCGGGAGAGACAGGAGAGGTCTGCGGCGCCGTGTGGGTTGCTCCCTGGCCGGGCAGGGATCAAACTCGTGCTGCAGTGGCCGCGGACAGCTTGACAGGTTGCGTCCCAACCCCTTGGGCCACTAGGGAGGTCCATGACACTACATAATTTTTGAAGTAAAAATTAACCTCCCCAACTTCCACAATCCGTTATGAATAACACATATTATTCTATGACATAAGTGAAGATTTGGACTTATTTTCGTTTGATAGAAATATTTCTAACAGCAAGTCCCAGTAGTTAATTGTCAGGAGAAATACTGGTTTCTTACCAGGTCCGATTTGCCGCCTGCTATAGGTTTTCTGCTGCTTACAGACTTCCCAATACACTGTATCTTAACTTTGTCAGACTTGCTTTATCTGAGAAAATTGAACCTCAATTTCAATATTTTCTCCTGATTTTTGTCCTAATTTAAAGTTCATTTTAGTGAGAGAAATTAATACTAACCTTAAATTAATACATTTAAACAATAATGTAAATGTGTATTTCAAAATTATCTTCCTCAATTTCTGACATGCTTTGATTTCAGAACAGTCATAGAAACCCATTTGGTTATTTGCCAAATTTGAAAAAAAGCACAATTTCAAGTTGATCTGCTTGTGTTTCCCCCCACTCCTCCAACTGCCATTTGAAATACATAAAAACATAAATGATATTATTAATGCTTTTGTTTCTAGGATTATAGAATTATGCCACCAGTTCCCTCATGGAATTACAGACCAAGTAATTCAGAATGAAATGCCTCATATAGAAGCCCAACAGCGGGCAGTGGCCATCAATAGACTATTGTCCATGGTAAGGCGAATCCAACAAATTCATGTGGTTACTTATATTTTATGATTATCATTACTTCCTATTATGTAGTCATGAAACCATTTTAAAGTATGTTAGTCTGTGACTGATAAATCTTCTGAGCCAAGGAAGCAGCTCAGACTGTCTGAACTGAGGAAAGAAGAAATAATTTTGTAACACTTTACAAGACAAATAAACATACTTTGTTTTGTTTTGTTTTTTTTTTTTTTAAAGATTTATTTATTGATTGATTGATTGATACATACAAGCACTGGGTACGGTTAGAAGCGCGGGAGGGAGAGAGAATTCACCAGAGCCAGAGCGGGGAGCAGAGCAGGCAGAAGGACTGAAGCACACTGCTGAGGGGAGCAGCGGGCGGCAGGAGAGGTCTGCGCGCCATGCGGGACCCTCCTCCCGAGGCCAGGGAGCAGCCGGGGATTGAACCGGCGCTGCAGAGACTGCCGGCAGCTTCCCAACCCAGCGCTCAACCGCTGCGCCACCGGGGAGGCCCAACATACTTTGTTTTAACCAGTATGTTTATTAAACTAATTGTCATGTTACTTTAGGCACATAGGTGTAGTCTTGTTCTCACTGTCTTTTTGCTTCCTACTGCTGATGTTGAGCCATTCCTTATGACATATCCCCCTTCCCTCTAATTTTTCTACAAATCATCACAGAGCCAGTTTATTAGGTTATTACTCTCCACAATCTCATTCTGAGTATTTCAGGAGTCAGGAATGAGTCTAGTAGAATGTCAGCAGTGCTGGCTTTCTGGGAGAAATTACAGCTCGGCCCCCAGTAATACTGCAGTAGGGGTTTGCATTGAAACCCTTCTACCTGTTCTTACTGCTTCTGTTCTCCCAGGTTCCTTATGTCATTCTCTTCCAGCTATCCAAAAACACCCCACCTAATGGTACCCCAAGCTCTAAACTTACCCATTTTTCCTTCATTTCTCCTCTTCATCAAAATTACCATATCCTGAGAGCACTACAGTTTCATCTTAGTAGCAGTTAGGTAAAAAGTGACTATACTAAGGCTGCATCTGAAGACTGATTTGCTTTTAAAATCTGTTATCTTTCTTGGATTTCTAATGGCTTTGGATATGAAGACTGAGGATGGGTGAACTTTCTGTTAAACCATTCCCTTTAACCTTTTAACTCAGAGATTGGTAAACTTTATAAAGTGCCAGATAGTATATGTTCTAGGCTTGACTTTACAAGAAAGTAACTATGGACTATACATAAACAAATGTATATGGCTATGTTCCAATAAAACTTTATTTATAGAATCATGAAGTAGGCCAGATTGCTAATCCCTAATTTAACCCAAGGGGAAAAGGAGGTGGTGTGATTTCTAATCAGTTTACCATGGTAGAGCTCTTAAACTCCAGGAAGGACAGAGAAAGGAATGCTGAGGTTGTGGCAATGGAAAATGTTTTTTGTATTCTGACCACCCTTATAATCCCTTCCTTTCTGTCTGAAAAGCATCCTCAGTACCTGAAAAGCATGTCATTCTTTCACTACTGCAATCGCACCTCCCAGTCCTACTGGCTATAAGCTATAGACAGTGGTAGAGCTAGCCAAAAATTTTAAATAAGGGCATAATTATTAATAAAGCTCCAAGTGTTGGTTTTAACTTTAAACAAGTGTGTCCCCCCATTACATTACTAATAACTCTCTCTGCATGTGTTCAGGCTCTTGACTTTCATCTGCACTATTAAATTGTTTCTGAACTGGTTCTGCTGGGTTCAGCTCCCTCAGAGCAGTCAGCTTGATCTATCTTAATTAAATACACATCTGGGGCCTCTCCGGTGGTGCAGCGGTTGAGCGCTGGGTTGCGAAGCTGCTCGCGGCCTCTGCGGCGCCGGTTCGATCCCAGGCTGCTCCCCGGCCACCGGAGGAGGGTCCCGCATGGCGCGCAGACCTCTCCTGCCGCCCGCTGCTCCCCTCAGCAGTGTACTTCGGTGGTCCTTCTGCCTGCTCTGCTCCCCGCTCTGGCTCTGGTGAATTCTCTCACCCTCCCGCGCTTCTGACTGTACCCAGTGCATGTATAAACAAAACAAACAAACAAATAAATAAATAAAACATGCCTCTATTAAAAAAAAAAAAAAATACACATCTGACCCAGTCACTTTCCCGCCAAAAATCCTCTCAATGCCAGAGATTCAAGTCCAAGTTCCAAGGTTTACCACCTGGTGCCCAAACTTTCCTCATCTGCCTCATCTTCCTCTACCACTCTCTCAAAAGTTAGATTTCAGAGGGAACCGAATATTTTGGACCCTACCACATCATGTTATTTCTTGCCTCGGGTCGTTTGCTCATGCTGTCTTCCCTACATTGAAGGCCTTTCTTCACACTAATTTCTCGTTATCCTTTAAAGACTCATTTCTACTGTCATATCCAGGAATTCTCCCTGAATCCCCAGGTTGAGCCAAAACTTCTGAGAATCCATCCCACCCTTTACATTACTCTGTCTTAACACCAGTTGTATGGTATTGAGGTTTGTGTTTCATGTTTGTTCCCTGCACCCTACCTCACAAACACTTACCAAGGTAGAGGTATTCAGTAAATGTTCTTAGACTGAATCAAAACACTGAGTGTCACCTCCAAATTGACCTTTGTGCTTCCCATTTGCCTCTTAGTGTGGCTTGGGGAAGGAAGATATTGCTTTTCATTCATATGTAAACCCATTTTCAAGTCTTGAGCCTGCCCCGTATTAATTCTTGGTAATGTGGTTTCTATTAGCCATTGCTTCCAAGAATGGAAGGAAATTTAGAAGCATGTCAGACATACTTTACTTTTGATTTATTATATAAAAACAAAACTATAGGTCTTGCATTCATACATTGGTCTTTCTTCCTACTTTTCATGAACCACAATTTGAGTTTTAATAGTTTTTATTATTATTCAAAAGCTGCCTGTTTAAAATTCTTTTTACATTGGTTATATAACCAAGTCAGGAATGAGTATATATGAAATTGTTAGGTATTTATATTTTGAAAAATGATGAGATAAAGAGCTAAGTTTTTAAAAATTCATTGTGTGTAATATGTAGGCAAAAACTTAAGTGTCAAGTGAGAAACTAACAAATAACTGAAGGAGGTAGGGTATTTTAATATGTATAAAATATTAAAACAATGCATTAACATTTGGATTCGTTATATCTCCAAAATAATTCATTGCTGTTTTCTATTAAAAAAACTTTAGGGTCAGTTGGATCTCTTAAGGAGCAATACAGGCCTTCTGTATAGAATAAAGGATTCTCAGAATGCTGGGTAAGCACATAATTTTTTCATTTTAAGAAAAATTTAATTTTAACAAAGTAATACATTTTTGGGGAGAAAAAGCTAATATAGAATTACATGGTGTAAACTTATCTTGCCTGTCATCCTTGCCTACTATCATGAGTTCCATTTCTCAGAGATAACTAGCTCTTAATAATTTGGTATATATCCCTTCTTCTAGATAGATAATTATATATTTATATATAATCTCTTTTCTTTCTTTTTTTTTTTTTAAACAAAATGGGATCATGCTATCCATACTGTTTTGCAACTTGTTTTTTTCACTTACTGTATCTTGGACATCTTTTCATTCTGGTACATACAGCCCTGTCTCATTCTTTTTAAGGTAAGCCTTTCTTTTGGTAAATAAGTCAATATGATGACCTTTTCTTCTAATTCATAAGTAGTTGTAGAGATTATTAGATTATCCTATATCTCTTTGCCTTTTTAATTCTGTTCTATTTCCCTGCAGTAAAATGAAAGGATCAGATAACCAAGAAAAACTAGTATATCAAATCATAGAGGATGCAGGAAATAAAGGTAAGCATGTGAAAAAGCAGAAAAAAATACTGTCTTTAGAACCAGATAGGAGGACTCAGATACTGGTTTCTCAGGATATAGATCAGCGTGTAGAGCTGCCATTTATATTTAATGGAGAAGAAACTGTAACATACAAATATAATGGATAATACTTAAAGGACACCAGAGTGATATCATTGTTGCTCAAGGGAGGCAGTAACTCGATGGCCGAGGGCAGGGATGGAATTCTGAATTCTGAACCATGTGAATGTATTATTTATTACCAATAAATAAATTAAATTTAAGGCTTTTTAAAAATTCCCACTCTTTAAACAAGAGTGGCCTTAGTTACATATCTATAAATTGTTGATAATCTCCTTGGATTTTTTTTGCAAAAACCACAGGGATTCATAGTGCAGTGTGGCAGCATCTTAGGTAGATCCTTCAACAGCTGTTTAGTTCCTCTCTTATCTCCGTAAAGAATTGCATCTATTAAACAATTTAGAATTTATATGAGTTATTAATATTAGCGTCAACAATTATGAAGCAACCTGAAATCATGTAATTCTTAAATTTATTGGTAGGCAGTTAACATTTGAAAAATAGACATGTGAAATAGTCATTTTCTATTAAAAAAATAACTCTTCCTATCTTATGCCTCTTTTGGAGGAAAACAAGGCAAAATACTTTTATATAAAATTTCCTTTCCATATATAATACTTGTTATCTTCTTTAAAAGAGGAAACATAGCTCCTAGTGCAGGGCTTTTAGTGGCTGTAAGAATCACAATCTTTCCATTTTCCATTTCTCAAGTATAGTGTTACCTAAGTTATGGATACATAGGCATATAGATGTTCACATAAGGAGTTTTGTTGCTGTCTGTTGAGTATGGTAGCTTGGCCCAAATTTAAATTTGTTTTTATAGTTGAGAGTAAAAATAACAAAGCAGATTGGGATGCAGGAGGGATGGAGGAAACTATATAAGTTAATCCAAAACATAAAAGATTCTTCTGTAATTACAAAAATGTCCTTCTCATGTTTTTTCAAAGGTGCCACACTAGGATATCAGCTGTGTTCTAGGACTATATATACACATGTACAGATTTTGCTAGTTTTGGAATAAGAGCTAAGCAATGAGATAAAAATTCAAATTCTATAAATGCTCAACTTCTTTTACTTTACTTTCTTATAGGAATATGGAGCAGAGATATCCGATATAAAAGTAACTTGCCATTAACAGAAATTAATAAAATTCTAAAGAATTTGGAAAGTAAAAAGCTTATCAAAGCTGTTAAGTCTGTGGCAGTGAGTAGTTTTCTCTTTTCTTCTCCCAAATGTTTACATATATTGCTCTAAGTTTTATTATTCTTTAAGTTATGTTCTAATTTAAAATTACTAGGATCCTCGACTAGTAAGTTGGGGGAAAGTTAAATCTGAATAAATTATAGACTTTTTAAATGATAGTGTATCAATATTAGTTTAATTGTAAAAACATACATACCCTACTAATGTAAGATGGCAATAATATGGGAAACTGAACACAAGGTAAATGGGAACTCTGTACAATCTTCACAATAGTTCTGTCAATCTAAAACTGCTCTAAAATATGAAGGATTTTTAAAAATATCTTCGTTTTGGAAGGCTGTTTGTTATCGATCTTATAAAGACATCTGCTATGTATATTTTCTCCTAGGCTTCAAAAAAGAAGGTGTATATGCTCTATAACCTGCAGCCTGACCGGTCTGTGACTGGTGGAGCTTGGTATAGTGACCAGGATTTTGAATCTGAGTTTGTAGAGGTGCTTAACCAACAGTGTTTTAAGTTCCTACAAACCAAGGTGAGGCATAATTGAGGAAAGAGCACTACAACTTCTTTTTTTAAAGTTTCTTCTTACAGAATGTTTCATCTCATAGATCACATTTTCTAAGAATTGAAAATAATGAAATTGGTCACTTTTAGTAAACAAAATATTTCGTTACTGATTTTACTGTGTATAAAATATATTCAGAAAACATTAGAGTTTTTGCTGAGATTTATGTTTCTACCCTCACAGGCAGAAACAGCAAGAGAAGGCAAACAGAATCCAATGATACAAAGGAATAGTTCATTTGCTTCATCGCATGAAGTGTGGAAATATATCTGTGAATTGGGAATCAGCAAGGTGGGAACTCAGTTTTTAATAATTTTTTTTTTTTAGTAAGTGTATTCCTTATAGGAATACAGTTTATAGTGTTTTCCAACTTATTTGACTCAGATCCTTTTATCAGATGATACCTGTGTACACTCTTTGAGAATGTACTGTCCTAAGCTATTTAAACAAAGGTATTTACTGCTATCAGGCACTGTTGAAATTGTTTGTACTTGAGCTTGGGATATAGAGCAGTGGAGGAGAACCCTGTCAGCTTCATGTCACTACCAAAAAAATTCAAAAGTCTGATCTGACAAGTTCTTGATTTTCTCTCAGAGACCTTTCAACATATGTGTCAGACTTCATCATCACATTACCTCCTTATCACATTAATTGTCATATTGGTATTTTCCTTATACAGAGATGTAAGTGGTACTATATTCTTTTGAAGACCTTTACATAAGGACATTATACTGAATGCATTTTACAATCAGAGAAGAAATTGACCAGTTGGACAAATTTCCTGGCCCCCAGATTTATCATTTATTAAAAAGTAGGAATTTGGATTGTATGACATCTTAAGTACAAATACTTACAAGCATTTTGTAAATCTACATTAAATTCTTGCCAAAGGGTTATTATTTTAAAAAAGACGTTAATTATGCATCCAAGAATTGGAGTATAGGCCAAGGTACAGGGTAGGGGAGTGAGAGGCTTCACCAGAGACAGAGTGGGGAGCAGAAAATGCAGATTGACTGAAATACACTGCGAGGGAAGCAGCGGGTGAGTCAGGAGATGTCTGCTGTGCCATGTGGGTTAGCTCCCTGGCTGAGGATCGAACTCTTGTTGCAGTGGCTGCCAATAGCTTCATTGTGCTGAGACTTAACCCCTTGCACCACCAGGGAGGTCCCCAAAATTATTATTTTATAAAACTTCTAATTTTTACTGAGGAGGCTGAAGATACTAGGTAGCATGAAACTCATCATAAGGTTAGAGTTCTGTCCTTAGCATTTCCGAGGCTTGTGCTAATTTGGCCTTTCTGATTATTCTCCAACACAGTGCTCCCCTATTTCACCAAGGAATTGTGACCTTTTACTGTTTATGATAATGTCCAAAAGGAGTTCTTGATCTTTTTGTGCCCTTACTAATGTATCCCTTTTTTAGGTAGAGTTGTCCATGGAGGACATTGAAACCATCTTGAATACACTCATTTATGATGGGAAAGTGGAGATGACTATCATCGCTGCAAAAGAAGGCACTGTTGGCAGTGTAGACGGACATATGAAGCTGTATAAGGCAGTCAACCCAATCATCCCACCCACAGGTTTGGTCCGGGCCCCCTGTGGACTCTGCCCGGTGAGTTAAGGTGACTTCGCTTTACCCGTGACTGCTACTAATTGCAAATGTCACATAACATTTCATCAGCAAGCATACCCCAGTTACTCTCGGGGTTGACTAAGAGTTATTCAAACTTCCATGTAACCTTGACAACAAACCTTTAGTGAACAAATCATTGTCTTACATTTTTTCTTAGACTAACTAGGTTAAGAAAACTTGTGTTTTCTGCTCTTGGCCCTGAAATGGACAACTTTTTGATGGGGGCTAATTATTTAATTTAAATAAAGAAGGAATGAGATTTGTTGAGAACCTACCATGACCTGGATATTAAGTCCCTTGCAGCTAGTGGTATTAACTCCCCTTCAGCATAAAATAACTTGGGCAAAGAAAGAGCTAAGAGCCTACAGCTTTGAGTAATGAGGATTCAAACCTAGGTAATGTTCTTTCCCCTGCACACACTCCAGCATGCTCATTCTATCCCTGATATGAGTAGCAACTGTGTGCTGTAGGTATTGCCCAGGCCTAAGGACATTCATATTCTTTTTTTTTTTTTTAGATTTATTTATTATGCATGTAAGAACTGGGGTAAGGCCAGAGGTGTGTGTGGGGGGGTGTGAGAGAGAGGATTCACCAGAGACAGAGTGGGGAACAGAACAGGCAGATTGACTGAAATATACTGCTGAGGGGAGCAACGGACTAGATAGGAGAGGTTTGTTGCGCCATGTGGGTCACCTCCCTGGCTGGGGATCAAACTTGTGCTGCAGTAGCTGCGAATAGCTTCATAGGTTGTGTCTTAACCCCTTGCACTACCTGGGAGGCCCGACATTCATATTCTTATGCTGCTGGTCTATTTTTTATATCATTATACTGGCCCTTGTTTGTTTATCTAAGCATTCTCTGCCCTGGTTTCAACTCCTAGGAAAAAGGCTAACATCTTGAATTTAACACAAAAAGGAAGGCAACTAATCATGAAACACTTAGTCAAAATTAAGTCATTGATATATATATATATTCCTTTCCTATATTCCTGCTGGTAGCCTTTTGTTCAGAGAGTGGGTGAACATGGTCCATCTTAATGCTACAGCAAAAGATCTTTCATTAACCAACTTTATGATCACAGAGCAGGTCCTATTATATGATCTTAAATATAGTTCTGATCGCTCAATGTGAAAGTTTTATTTTTAATACTGTTTTAAAGTAGTTGGGTCTGGGCTATTTGATTAGCAGAAATTTTAGGTAGTTGACACTTAATTTAAGACTTTGTAATATTTTTAAAACATCAAGTTTGAATATAACTTTTTTTCTTGTTTTTTACAGGTTTTTGATGACTGCCATGAAGGTGGTGAGATTTCACCATCTAATTGTATTTACATGACAGAGTGGCTTGAATTTTAACAGAGAGCTATGAATTCTATTGACATGTAAACTTTAATTCATGATGGAACATCAGATTCCCTTGAAAGCAGCCTTTACTATAATGGATATCGACTTGCTATTAAAAAGTATTTATTTTTTCCTGTGAAAACTATATTTATGTTCATGGAATAGTCATCAAGACTGAAGCAGGTGAGTTTAGCAGTGAAATCCATTCTTCAATAAATACTTTGAAGTTCTGGAGGACCTCATCTGAAACTTTCAAGATTTGATGGTTCAAGGAAAAAGAAGACAATAAATCCATTTTCACCAAGTATTATGATAATGACAAGAGCTTTAAATGACCATTTTAAAGTTATTAAGCTCTTCATTGAAATTTTTACTCTATACTTCACTATCACCATTTCTGTTTTTTCAGTGGTTTCATTGAGAAAAAATTCTAAGTGATGAACACAGAAATAATGAGTGGGCAAAGACTTGAGGCACGAGGCAAGCATAGAGTGGAACTTCTCTTTTACACACACTCTTCACTCTTCATTCCTTTTTATGTCAGAAATATTCTTACAGAGCATTATGTCATCAAATTTACCTCAAACCCAGATGATGACTTTTTGTCAAGGTTATGTTTTTTTAGTGCATAAATATTAGCATTATTACCTTAAAGGGTTTATTTTTCCCTGGTCCTTCTTTGTTAAAGTTTTATACAAGTTTTACTCTGTGCCACAATTGTATTTTTGCTATAATTTCCCCCTAGGTTCTTATCATTTAACTAAAATTAAAACTAAAAATAATCTGTTGCCTTCCATTCATACTTTGTTTGGGGGGAGGAAGTACCATTCTTTTTTTTCTTGTCCTGTTTTAGAGTTGTTTCCTTATGCTATTCTAAAAATCATGGCACAGTATGCTTGAATTAAGCAGAACCCCATTATAATTGTTTTAGCCCTATAGAAAACATTAGGTTATTTGATGTATTGTTGCACAGAAGGTAGCTGTGGTGCTTTTTAGGATCTCAGCTGTTGTGTTTTTGCTCTGAGGCATCATTTAAAAGTTTGTGTCAAGGCCAAAAACATGGAACAAATTGAAAGGAAAAGAGCTGAGACTTGAGTTCAAACACGTTTGGAGATACTCTTAAGTGGATAAACTTCAGAAGGGTTATTTTGAGATAAATGGGATTGGTAAAGTAAAATTCAGCTTAGTCACCAATTTTTAGAATCAGGCAAATTCTTTGGCCAGCTCTAGAGAGTTAGCATTCATATTAGCATTTTGAAATAGAGATCATTTGCTCATGTGTTGGATATAAGACAAAAGAATCTGGGAGCCTGAAGCTACAAAGGTTTCTTTTCAACCCCCAGTCAGACTTGGCATGATACAAACAATGACCTTCCTGGCCTATTCAGTAGCACTAATCTTATTTAATAAGAAGACCGGGCCTCCCTGGTGGCGCAAGGGGTTATGCACCACACTATGAAGCAATCTGCAGCCTCTGCAGCATGAGTTTGATCCCTGGGCCAGGGAGCAACCCACATGGCTCAGCAGACCTCTCCTGACTCGCCTGCTGCTCCCCTCAGCAGTGTATTTCAGTCAGTCTGCCTGTTCTGTTCCCCACTCTGTCTCTGGTGAATCCTCTCATCCCCCACATCTCTGGCCTGTACCCCAGCTCTTGTATACATAAATAAATAAATCTTTTTTAACCAAAAAAAAAAAAAAAGACGACGACTACCTTGGAGGAGAGTTAAGAACGGGAAGGAAGAACCAGTTTGTTTTATTTTCCTTTAATTTATCTTTAACTGAGCTAACATTGGGGTAGTCCCATCAGGTACTACCACCATCAACTCACCCATACTCCACCACTGTAAACCATTACGCCTCCCTTCCTAGCCCCCTTGATGTGTCCGTTCTGCAGTCAGCTATCAAAGGTTAGTTTTTCAGCTTGTCTTTATCTGACTTACTTTAGTCACTTTATATTCCATATATTAGTGACACCATCCAGGACCAGTTTGTTTTAAATATGGACTTGTTTTTGTCTTAATAGCCAGACACTGATTTTATTTTATTTATTTATTTTTAAAAAGATTTATTTATTTATTTATTTATACAAGCACTGGGTACAGTCAGACGTGCAGGAGGGTGAAAGAATTCACCAGAGGGCCTCCCCTGTGGCGCAGCGGTTGAGCGCTGGGTTGCGAAGCTGCCCACAGCCTCTGCAGCGCCGGTTCGATCCCTGGCTGCTCCCCAGCCACGGGAGGAGGGTCCCACATGGCGCGCAGACCTCTCCTGCCTCCCGCTGCTCCCCTCAGCAGTTTACCTCGGTCCTTCTGCCTGTTCTGTTCCCCGCTCTGGCTCTGGTGAATTCTCTCACCCTCCCGCGCTTCTGACTGTACCCAGTGCCTGTATAAATAAATAAAAATAAATCTTAAACAAAAAGAATTCACCAGAGCCAGAGCGGGGAGCAGAACAGGCAGATGGATGAAATACACTGCTGAGGGGAGCAGTGGGCGGCAGGAGAGGTCTGCGCGCCATGTGGGACCCTCGTTGGTGGCTGGGGATTGAACCGGTGCTGCAGAGGCTGCAAGCAGCGTTGCAGCCCAGTGCTCAACTGCTGCACCGCCAGGGAGGCCCCAGAGATTGATTTTAAAAAGTTATAATAAATGGTAAAAACAAAGTTGTTCTTAATGCACCTTTAAGCTTTTCATTCTGAATATTAATTGAGGGAGAAAAGAGGCAGTATTTTACTGCAGCACATGTGATGTATGGTTAAATAGATATTTACACTACAGGAGTAAACTGACCAAAACTGTGGAGCCCTAGACTCATGACACTGAAAGATCAAATTGTAGGTGAGGTCCTAATCCTCACCTACATGGTTGAGTTCAACATGTAAGGTATTTTGTGTAAGTATTTTGCTTGCCTGAGCAAAGATATTCCCTGGAGTCTGTCAAGAGCCCCTAATAATGATCCATAGAGTTAAAAGAATCATGAGATTCTGTGATTCCTTGTTTAAATGACCTGTATATGCCATTCTTCCTTGAAACTCCTCTGATATTAGTTTGGTGATGAGTAAACAATGGAGCTATCATTTTTATGGTGATCAACTCATCAAGCTAATCAAAGCTGAAGTAGTATCAAAGTCACTTTCATTTTGAACTCATTATTAGATGGTAGCTGAGGGGAGAATATAAATACATACTGTATGACCAATGCAATCCAGTAGAATTATCTATAATGATAGAATATCTGCTATTCAATAAGGTACCCTAGTAGCCTGTCTTTTCAGAACTTTAAATGTGGCTAGTGTGAATGGACTGAATTTTCAACTGAATAGCTCCTGGGTTTATTGGCTACCATAGTGGGCAGCACAACTCAACAATCATAAAAGTTTCTATTAGTTTTTACAGAAGTGAAGAATATCAAAGTTAATTATTTGTCTATTGTATGTATTTGTTTTTTCTGTGGAGGAAGAGGATAAAACATATTGAGCTTTTATCTGTAAAGTTTGTAATTTTTTAAGAAAGCACCTCAGAAAACCAAGTAGAGAATAAACAGAACAAATATTAATTCCAAATCATTCAAATAGGATCAAACTTGGATTATAGACAATAAAATCAATGCTAAAGAGCCTCTTTATAAAGATCTTATATTGCTTTTCACTAACTGGTCCTGTAAGTTATCTTAAATCTTAACTATCTTAATTATAAAAGTATTACATATTTAGTGTAAAATTTCAAATAATCCCCAGATGCTTAAAGTAAAAAGATGTCCATCTTACTGTACTAAGCAAAATTCCACTTCCCAAAGATAATTGTTGCTGAAAGATTAGCAAGTCTTTCCTGATTTTTTTTTTCCTTTGAGCATAAAAGGCATTTTAGGTTAAAATGATGGCTTTTAGTCCCCTCGAAGCATAAACAGTTCGGGAATTCACATAACTGCAGCAAATGTCAGGTCCAGCAACATTAAGCATGGATTCATTGGAAATTGTTTAAGGCGATATTTAAGAATAACAAAAAAATGTTAGGCAATGAAAAGGATCAGAAGAAAAAATCATGGAATGGTACTTGAAAAACAGGTAAAGGAACATGGAAGTTAAAAGAACAAAATTTGAAGTACAGAAAAATTATTTTTAAAAATACTTAAGCCTGTAACAAAATCCAAATTGTTCCCAAGATTTCATCCTTTAATAATATATTCATTTCTTGGGCTTTATAGAGAATTATTGAGTGTACCTAAGTTAAGACTTATGGCAGATACCATGGATGGCTTGGACTGTGTGTCTTGCAGTGTTTGTAAATTTTTGATTTATACTGAAGTTGCCAACTTAATCCACATGTATATAGACTGGGTATAATTTACATATATATGGGTTGTATATACATCCATGCATATATATTCCCTGAATAAAAAAATCACTATGAAGTTTTTGTCTCAAAAATTCAGAAAATGGCAACATCTTGCAACATTTGTACATGGCAACAATTCAAACTGGGCATGAGTTCTCCACATTGCCACTCACCACGCTTGTCTTAGACTACTCTAGTCAGCTACATAGGCCATGCTTGTAGTCCCGCCTGATCTTTGCATTCAATTCACGACATGCAAATATACCATCCTCTCAACATGTTTGAAGGCCTGGGGGTTAGGGTGTTAAAAGTGGTGGCCCTGGTCTGGGTTTAAAATCCTGGGCCAGCCTGAAACTGCTAGTGTTTTGAGCTCTAAGCCAACTCTGGCCTTAGGCTTTCTTTTCCCAGTAAAATAGAAAAGTTTTATTTTAAAGAGGAGTAAGTACAATTCCTATGATATACATGAAACCTATCTGGTTTTAATCTGGACTAGGAGTCATGAAACCTAGGTTCCATTTCTGTCTCATTCACTTTGAATTGTTAAGTGTCATTAAGCTACTTTTATGTCAATTATCAAGTGAGAAATAACTGCTTTAGTTCATACATTTGGGGAGACAGATTCTATAGAAATGGAAATGTTATATGTAACAGTGTGAACACTAACTTGTGTCTGCTTTTAGGCATTTTTGGAATTTGATCTGTTTTATGTGTACAGTAATTACCTGATAATAGATTATTATCTATTAATGATCTGATAATTGTTCTACCCCTACATTAGTATGCAGAACAGCAAAAATGATCCTGTCTATGCTGGTACTTTCAACATAGACTTTACCACATTAACCAGTTCATGAAACTCTGTGTTCTGAAAGTGGCCACGGTCAGTGAATCTGTACAATTTGGCTCCCAACCTATCAGCCACTTCTTGTTGTTCTTTCCAGGGAAGAAAAGGATCATCAGTGGAGCCAAATTGCACAATGTGAGGACAGTTGGCTTTGATCTTCTCCCACTGCCAGGGGCGGTTGAAATATCCTATAAGAAAAAAATATTTATAACCGATTATTGTCCATTGATAGGCTACGTTGTGAATTATAAGCATTTCTTTAGTTTTCCATTCTGTAGTACTTGATACCATAGCTACTTGTGAAGGGAGAATATGGAGCTCAAAAAAAAAATCAGGTCTCGAGGCTTCAAGTATAGACTATGGATTAGAAAATGGTCTACCAGGGGCCTCCCTGGTGGCCTAGGAGGTAAGTCCCAGCACTATCACCATTATAGCCTGAGTTTGATCCCAACGAGGGAGCTAACCCACACGGCACAGTAGCCCTCTCCTGTCTCATCTGCTGCTCCCCTTAGCAGTGTATTTCAGTAAATCCACCTGTTCTACCCCCTATTCTGTCTCTAGTAAATCCTCTCACTCACACCCCCACCCCGGACTTGGCCTACACCCCAGTTCTATGCAAAAAAAAAAAAAAAGTCCACTTCTCAAAGTGCCTATCTTATACCCAATGATGGGTAGTAAATATTTCTCATTTGCTGCTACATAATATTGTAGCTTATCTAAAAGAGAGTACTGTTTCATAATGTAAAGAAGCAGCCCCGAGACCAGAAGTAAGGTTTTTCTGTTGTCTTCTGCCACCACACTTACCACTTGCACGCTCATTTTCATCCCCCAAGTCTGACGTATATGCAGACACTAAAACAATAGCATATACTTGATGCGTTTCTGCATATCTAGAGAGAGAGAAATGATGTCAGCTAATATATAACATTAAGTTTGACCTCCAAAAAGTAAGTAAACGACCTAAAATCTCATTTGCTCTAATGTACAGGAGCCGTGTGCTAGATGCTGTTGAGGTTAATATGAAAAATGGCAAGGAAACTGAAATAATATAAGCCTTTTGGATAGTCACTCAGCCTTGGCTATTTGATGGGTTTCTACTCATTCTTCAAAGTGGTTCAAAGCTGTCCTATAATTCTTTCCAAATAAACCATATAATCATCCTCTTCCATGTGTGCATTAGTGCATGTTATTTGGTTGCCTGATGTGTAGTATACATCAGCATTATTTAGTTGGTTAATAAGTAGATTCTCAGGCTCAGTTAGAGCATGTGGTTCCAAGGGTTGGGACTGAGGCCCAGGTATCTGCATTTTAAGGTATTATACCTCCCCCCAACCTGCAAGTCATCTATAAGCCATATTTTAAGAAAACTACCAGATCAAAAATTCACCTTTTACCATACATTCCACATTGCACTGTAATACTGCTTTCTGTCATATTATACCCCGCCCCCCCCATTAGACCTTGGCTAGCTAAAAGAAGATATGAACTTTCTTGACCATTATGACCCTGGTGTTTAGGAATGTGCCTGGCAAGTAGAGAGCTATTTGCAGAGAGTTCTCTCACTCAGCAAAGACTAAGTTAAGGAAAGATGTGGACTGGTAACAGTTTCAAGAGTTTCTGTGCCAAGGAAAGATTTAAGGCTGGTCTTTGTTTCTGGGGCCTAAACTTTTTACCCAACCTTTTCAAATTGTTCAAACTACAGAAAAGTTAGAACAATAGCATCTTGTCATTCATTTTGTCACACGTCACCCCTGAATACGTTAGAATGTACTGCCTAAGGACAAGGCCATTCTCTCCTATAACCATGTTACCATAATTATACCTAATATATTTAACATTGATAAAGGGATAAGATCTGTATTCATTTCCCCTCTCTCTAACTGTACTAAAAATGTTCTTTAAAATGGCTTTTCAACCCTAAATCCAGTCAAAGATGATGCATCACATTTGGTTTTATAACACTTTAATCCATTAAAAATTTTTTTTAATTAACACTAACATTTTTTAAGAGTTTAGTCCAGTTTTCTTGTACATTATTCCCTAAACTGAATTTCTGTGTCCTCATGATTAGACTGAGGTTAAATACTTTTGGCAAGAAAACTATATATATAGACAGTGGGCCTCCCTGGTGGCCTAGGGATTAAGCGCTATCACCATAGCGGCCTGAGTTTGATCCCCCGCCAAGAAGCTAAACCACATGTGGCACAGCAGACCTCTCCTATCTTGCCCACTGCTCGCCTCAGCAGTGCATTTCAGAAAATCCACCTGTTCTGCTCCCATTCTGTCTCTGGTGAATCCTCACACCCCAAACCTCTTTCCTACACCCCAGTTCTTCTAAGCAAAATTAAATAAAATCTTTTTTTTTTTTAAAAAGACTACTACATAGACAATATTATGTCCTTCCCATTCTGTCACATCAAAGGCACATGATGCTCGCCTCTCCCATTACCGGTGAGATTAAATGTGATTCCTTATGGTAATATAAATTAGGTCACTCCCTTTTGTGATAAGTAATTCATAGGGTAGTCCTCAATGTTGATATTCCCTACAATCTCACACTTCATGTTTTGGGCATCTATTTTTCTCCTTGCCTACATTAACTTTTGAAGCAAATTCTGAAAATCCTGCAATAACTTTCAGGGTTCTTTAAAAGAAAGCCCATCTTTATTAGCCAATGGCTTGATAAAAATTCAGTTGGCCTTGAACTGGTATAGATTTCGGCATAAAGAGATGTCTCCATTTATCTAGCAGCTTATAAATAGTATGCTGTACCATAATTCTGTAGCTCCTCATTGGAAAATGTTATTCTTATAGTTTTCATTGGTATACCTGAAAGATTATGGAATTTGAGAAGTGTCCAACATGTATTAGTAATTCACACGACATCTTGCTTGGGAAAAGGCACAACACAAAAACTATAATCCTTTGCCATCCATTCTAAAAAATAGGGAGGAAACCCAACCCTAATAGACTTATTCAGCCATCTAAGTCCCTACTCCCTAGGCCACGTAAGCCTATAGAGAAAGACATAATGTTTTGGTGGAAAGCATCTGGATGTGCCCTTAGGATGAATCCTAAGGATTTGGGGGTAGGGAGCACTAGCAGCCTCTAACAAATATTTACTAAGCACCTACCATATGCCAGATTCTTCTAGGCACTGGGGTTTCAGTGTCAGAGTGAAGAAAGTCCCACCCTCATGGAGTTACATTCTATTATCAGGAGACAGACAAGAAATAAACAGGATATCAGGTGGTGAAAAGTGCTATAGGTAATTTGGGGGATAAGAAGGTATAAGGGGGATAGGAATCAGAGGGGTGAGGTTGCTGTTTCAGAGAGTGATTAAAGAAGGCCTCACTGAAAGAAGATATTCTAGCAGAAACTTCGAAAATTCGAGAGGAAGAAAAAGTCTTGCAGGTATCTAGGGGACAGAGGGTATGGAAGAATAATAGCAAGCACAGGCCAAAGGAAGGTTCATGCTGAGCATGAAGTCTCTAATCCAGACTGGAGGCAGTAAAAACATTGGAGCTAGTGAGGCCTTGAAGGCTGAGCATTTCTTTTGAGGGTGACAGGAAGCAACCTGGGGCTTGGATCCTTAAAAGGATCATTGTATGCCAGGAAGAGCAAAAAAAATTTTAATCCACTAACCAAACCAGGAAGGAATTAGGACAGATTATGTTACAACTTTTGAGGTCAGCACTGTTTCTTCTACAGTATAATTTAAGATCTGCATAAGGTATTTCCCAAGCAAGCATGGCTGGAGCTCACACAGGGGTGACAATTTACAGGGATCACACCTCATGGCCGCAATGGCCCCGGAACTGTGGCCTATGACGATGGTCTTCTCATCACAGTGCAGCTCTGTCTCCATGAAGGGCAGCCAGATGTGCTCTCTAGCTGTAACTAAGGTTCAGGGTAAAGAAACAGCCTGTCATTTGATAGGGACAGTCTTAGCTTAACACTACCCCACCTTTCTAACAGACTCAGCTGATCACAACTTTTAAAACTACAGGACCATAATGGCTTATGGGGCTCTCTTACTATAGTCAAAAACTTGTATTGCTGTTTGAAAGATTCAAATCTGTAGTTTTACTTTTATTTCTTACCAAGTTCTTGTGAGAAAACACTGAAGAAATAAGTAACCCTGAAGCTTTAATGTAAATTTTCAAACTTAAAAAGCTACTGACAACATTTTCTCCCAAATTCATGCACTTATATAGACTTTCCTTCCCAAAAGGAAATCCCTGAAACAAGTCATAGACACATTCAGAACAACAGTGGCAATGTTACCTTTTAATATTAGGATCGCATATAAATGCTATAAAGTTTTGTATTTCCGCCTCAAAGGAAACGCCCATAAACTTTGCCTGAAAATATTTATTGATTTATAAAAGGGGAAAATCAAGTTGTTTGCAAAATTGAAAGTTAATTAGGTCCAGGTGCTTTTCTTGATATACTAGGATTTGGGGTTTTGTTTGTTTTTGTTTTGGGTTTACATCCTCCTCCCCAACCTGCCTGTTATCATTCAGTCTCAGATATATAGTCCCTCCAGCTTCTCTACTGTGAGATTTCTGTTCTCTCCAAGAAAATAATGACATCAAAACACAAAGAGGCTATTTTAAAACAAGTTTAAAACTTACTTGGGTCAGGCATGTTTTTAGCCAAACACTGGAAACCAGGTATCTGTGATATGAGGAGAAGAAAAAAAGGCTATAACAAAGAGCTTAATTGCACCTAATACATTACACCTAAGAGCTAATAAGAAATGAGACACTTGATACGATCTTTATCAATTCAACAAGTATTTGCTTACATTATTAAATGAAGTGGGTTAAGTGCTACAGAATTACACATGAATATGCAATCCCTCATAAACTCCTTCTGTCTGTAGTTCTATATCTAGCCAGCTGTGTAGATCTCTTTATAGAGAAAGCTACCTTAATACCCACTGCACAAGCATATATCTATAGCAAGGGCATGAGTGAATGCATTCTAGACAAACTGTCCTGAGTCAAAAAGAATGCACCAGGGAGGAAGTGAGATGTGATATACCCACCCCATTTTAGCAAAGCCCTGTCTGCTTCATCCATCTCCTGTCTTAAGTTCTAGAACTAGCTTTTGCCTTCTTCTAGAACTAGAAATTTTTGTTGGTAAAAATGCCTATAAGACTTCTGTAAGGGCCTTTTTTAAAATTTGGTAACATTGGGGCCTCCCTGGTGGTGCAAGGGGTTAAGACGCAACCTATGAAGTTATCCACAGCCACTGCAGCACGAGTTCGATCCCCGGCCAGGGAGAAACCCACATGGCGCAGCAGACCTCTCCTGACTCGTCCACTGCTCCCCTCAGCAATGCATTTCAGTCGATCTGCCTGTTCTATTCTCCACTCTGTCTCTGGTGAATCCTCTCACCCCCCGCACCTTTGGCCTGTACCCCAGTTCCTGTAAGCATAAATAAATCTTAAAATTTGGTAACATTGGTTTACAACACGCATATGATTCAGGATCACATTTCTTTAGGTGTGTGTTAGCAATATGTTACTACCAATGCACTATCCTCTTGAAGAGTTGCAGCTGTGATCTTTGGGTTTATAGCTCTAACCATGGTTTTTAGACATAACCCTGAATTTTGTTCTTGAAACCAACTCTAGAGCTCTAGACAATAGGATTCCAGGAAGCAGTCCTATTGCCTGGCTATTGAAAAGGACTAAAAATAACAAGATGCACAAGACAACCCACAGTAGGATATAATTTCTCTAAAATTCACAAAGAAGCCAAATTAAACACCATATTTTTAAAGGATACATACAGATTGCAAAAGGGGAGCAAATGAAAAAACAAATTTCAGAGTGAGGGAAATGGGATGGGAGGTACATACAGGTGACTTCACATGCACAGGTAATGTTTTAGATTCTAGTTTGGGGATGGAGTCTCAGGTATTCATTACATTACATTTCATAATTTACATATTACACATTATATAATTTAATATTACCTACAGAATTTTTTTAAAAATCTGCAGCAAAGAAGAGAGAAGACAGATATGAACTTACCTGAGAAGTCCCAAATCTGACCCAGCAGCAGATACAGGAAGGGAGTAGGGATCTGGTCTCTAGGTCTAGTAGGTTGTCCCTTGTACTCTAAAGACTAAGCCCTCACCAAATGGGCCCTGGTGGAGGGCTTTGGTGCCCTGGTGGTGGGTAACATACACTTGAAGAGGTGTGACCCTGTACTCTAAATTACACAGTGTTGTAAACCAATGTTACCTTAATTAAAAAAAAATTTTTTTTGAAAAGCCCTAACAGAAGTCTTATAGGCAAATTACCTACCGAAATTCTGACCAAAGCTAATTACAGAGCTTAAGACAGAGGAAGGAATAAAAACAAGGTTTTGCTGAAGAGGGGTGGGTGGGGGGAGTTCAAACTTCAGTCCTCCTTCCCTTGTGTCCCTCCAGCGGTTGGCTGAATTCCCACAGCAGAGAAGCGCCTGTTTCTTACCTGCTCCAGCCCTTTTTTCACCCAGCCATACCAGCCGTGGGTGGCCACATCCCCTCCTCCGTTCCCGGGAACAATAACCGCTTTATTGGGAGAAGCCATGGTGCAGAGGGTCCAGTACCCCAGCAGCCAGTCGTGCAAGGCTCAAGAGTCTGAGATCGCATCCGCTAGGGAGCCTGCACTGTGGCATCCTGGGAATTGTAGTTCTAGGCAGCCTCTGGGGCAGTTCATTTTCTTTTTGGCCTTCCCTACTGCACCAACCAAAACCAAACCTTGTGGGTATGTAAATCCCTTTTATCTGCCTCTTACTAGTGCTCTCATTTTTGCTCCCTTATTTTGTACAGACTGTGACACACCCCAAATATGTTATCTCTTTAGTAGAAATACCGATATTTCTATAGAGAAATGTGATTTTAGTTCCAAAGATGCAGAAACACCTCTTTATTAATTGAGGACTCCTGGAATCCATATTATTTTTCTTTCTGAATTCAAAACAGTTCTTAGTAGTATAATCAAATCAGCCCTAGTTGTTATTTTTCATTGCTTTAAATGCTGTCCTTTTAAAAGTTTTTTTTTTTTTAATTTTTATTTTATACAAGAACTGGGATACAGACCAGATGCGCGGGAGGGTGAGAGGATTCACCAGAGACAGAGCAGGGAACAGAACAGGCAGACTGACTGAAATACACTGCTGAGGGCAGCAGCAGGTGAGTCAGGAGAGATCTGCTGTGCTATGTGGGATTCTCGCCTGCTGGCCAGCATCGAACCGGCACTGCAGAGGCTGCGGACAGCTTCACAGCACTGAGCTCAACCACCTGCGCCACCAGGGGAGGCCCCCTTTTAAAATATTTCACCATTTGTGTGGAGTAAGATAATGTTCATACTTAAATCAATTTAGAGAGTGGAGAAACTAAGATACCAATGAAATGGTTCACCTATTGTGTTACAGAAGTCCTGAGATTTTAGGAACTTGTCATACCTTATAGATATATCCACACCTTATAGATATACCACTAGAGACTTATTGAATTGAGCCCTCAATTTAGCAAGAAGTGGGCAGAAGTGTACCTCTGTGGTTTAATGGGAATGAACAGAAAAGTGCTACTTCTTCCTTGCCTCTCCCATGAACCTGCTGTGTATTTCAGGCATATTTTAACATTGACATTGAAAAATACTCTTTGACAGCTTATGTTTGAATTGGCACAAGTAGGTAACCAATAATATACCGCCTCACCACCACATTCTTGGGAAGAGTAAACATACTCCTTCCTCTTGAACTGAATTTTCTTGAAAAGGTCAGTGTCGACTGAATTTTAAATGTAAACTTATTTATTTCATATGGAATGAACTACTGAGTCACAAATCACCATGGATGAATCTTGAAATAATTATGTTGAATAAAAGATGCCACCACATACCATATGATTGCATTTATTTAAAACTTGAAGAAGGGGGTTCTCCCTGGTGACACAGGGGTTAAAGTCTCAACACTACCAACCTATCGCCAGCCACTGAAGCATGAGTTCAATCCTGGCCAGGGAGGTGACCCACATGGCACAGCAAACCTCTCCTGTCTCTCCTGCTGCTCCCCTCAGTGGTGTATTTCAGTCGATGCACCTGTTCTGCCCTTTATTCTCTGTCTCTAGTGAATCTTCTCACCCCTTGCACCTCTGGCCTACACCCTGTTCTTGTATACATAAGTAAATAAAAATAAATTGTTAAAAAAATTTAAAAAAAACTAAAAAGATACAAGGGGCACAAGGAATCAACATGGGGCTCATTATCTTGATTGAAATGACAAATCAAAATTTAATAAATTGCACACTTTAAATATGTACAATATCATGTCAATCACACCTCAAGAAAGCTGTTTACAATTTGGAAAAAAAAGCAGAGATATCCCTGTAATGTAGTTGTTTGCTTAGGTTTTTAGTTCAACAAATAGGACACTCCCTTAACAGGAACAGCCGACTGAAAAAGGATCTATCCATTCTTAAGATTCCTTCTAAGTATTGTCTTTTTTTTTCCCTAAGCAGGTAGTCAGCTCTTCCGTTGAGGAGAAAAATAAGGCAGTGGTTTTAACTCTCACCTTTCTTAGAATATTTATTGTAATGATTTCAGAGATTATATAAGTACACACAAATCCACATTGTTTTCTACTTTTTATTTCTTGTGAAACATTTTCTCAGCTTGTCATTATCAGAGAAGTAGTTTAGTTTCAAAACTAAAACATTACCATTTCCATGAACTAAAAAAATCTGAAAATGAGCATTCATATCTGGTACATTGTTTGCTCCTATTGAAAGAGCTTTTCTCAAGAACTTGTCTTTCTAATGGGTTTAGAATCCTTCTGTAAGGCCCTCCTAAAAAATCTTCTTCTGTCTAAACTTTTATTTTCAAGTCAGGAGCTCTTCTTTAGGCAATTTATCTCTAGCTCTTCAAACTCATTGTCCAAGCATTCTTCCTGCCCTGTGTTTACTTTTCTTTTTTTCCCCTATGGTTATTTTTCTATTTCTTTTTTTTAAAATTTATTTATTTATGCATACAAGAACTGGGATGTAGGCCAGAGATGCAGGGATGGGGTGAAAGAATTCACCAGAGACAGAGTGGGGAGCAGAACAGGCAGATCTACTGAAAAACACTGCTGAGGGAAGCAGCAGGCAAGACAGGAGAAGTCTGCTGCGCCATATGGGTTAGCTCCCTGGCCGGAGATCAAATTCATGCTGCAGTGCTGGTGGTAGCTTGATAGTGTTGAGACTTAACCCCTTGAGCCACTTTTCTATTTCTTTAATATATTATTATTTTTTAAGCCATCTTGAGGAGAAAGAAAAATAAAAGAAAGTCTTCTGCAGGGTCTTGATGGGAGTTCATCAGGGAAGGGAGGTGAAGCACTTTCTTTTAGCAGAGGAGAGCTTGCACGGAGGCACAGAGGAGTGACAGCACATGTGGGCTGGGAAAGACAACCGGTCCAAGCCTGTAAGACTGAAGTATGTAGATCCAGGAATTCTTGAGTACCACAGTAAGGGGCCTTTACTTCCCCCTGCGAGTGACAGACATACTGTGTAGAATTTTAAGCAAGAGAATGTCAGGGTCAGGTGTGTCATATTGAAAAATCTATATGGCAACCAGTGAGATTTGTGTTTGGGAAAATTTGGGCAAAGAGATCATTTGGGAAGCTGTTGAGTAATCCAATGAGAGAGGATGAAGGGCTGAACTATACAGGTAGATGGAATTAAAACAATATTTAGAATAACACATCAACAGGACTAAGTTATTCACTATCAATTTTACAGTTGCCGGGGATTAAGAGAATTTTTTCTTCTACAATTATTCTGGGTTCTCTACTTGGTCTCTGTAACAAAAGGTAGAAAAGCATGTTTTATATGACACGAGAAACCTTCATAAAGAAATGCAAATCTAAAGAAGTTAAATTTGAATGTTTTAATGTTAGAGTGGAAAATCATGGGAAAAGGTGATAGGACAAAAGCGTAAGAGCAAAGAGTAGTAAACTGGGAGAAACTTAGCAAGGCCTATTCATTCCAACACCTCACAGTGGTCCTGTTATAGGACAAGAAGAGGGGCAGCCCAAACCCCGCAAACCTGCCTATTCTAAATGGGTTCTGCCATCCGCCGCATCAACACAAAACATATGAGACTTTAATGGGAAGGAACTTTAATAAAACTAGGAAACAATACAGGTAAGGCAAAGAGTCTAGTTTCTAAATGAAGCACCCAAAGTTACCCGTCCCCTCGTGGGTAAAAGTCCATCCAAATGGGATTGGCCCAGAGCAAAGCCCCAAAGCCTGCCACAAGTCTAAAGCATCTTCCAGTGGGGACCCACAGAAAAGGGTCACAAACAACCGGACAAGCCCGGAAGGAAAAGAGCAAAATCAACATCAAGATAAAAGCTGCCATGGTCACCTCCCCACGGGTCTCACCCACATCTGTGTCACCCAGTCCACGACCAAAAGACAAGTGCAGTTTCTTCATATGTCTTTAGGCTCCATGCGCCTCCTCCAGGTCTCCTGGCTCCATCCTGCTTCCTTCCTCAGTCTCTTCTGCAGCTCCTCCTCTTCCTGCTCAGCTCCACCCTCCCTTGGGTGGGGCAGGGAACCTCCCCCTTTCCTGGGGACCACCCTGTTGCAGTCCCTCTGCCTTAAGAAGTAAGGATGTTTCTTTCCTACCTGGTAAAGGAAGGGTATTTCTTATATGGATTGTATTTTAGTTTCTTGTGAACTTCTAAACTATACAAATTCAATGATCTATAACCTACCATTACTCTTTATGTTTTAGGCATTAAGAAAAACGTACGATTACAACAAATGGAATAATTATTTTGACAAACTTTTAGTATTAATGGCAATTGTTTCATAGTACATCGACTTAATTCCTGTGGTCTGTTCGTGATTTCAAACTTGGTTTTAATAAAAATTGAGTTAACTAACGACAATTTGTGGATGCCTAGATATGTTCTGAGCATAATTTGAAACGTACACAGTATTATTATTTACAGAGAGGCTTTACCTCTGGATCAAATTGACAAATGCGCTCCTTTTTGCTACTTATAAGATGGTGTGAAACGGCTGTGATGGATGGTGGTATCAAGTCGTGCTGTATGTAGATGCATTGTGTTCGTCTAATAAGATGCTTGAATGTGACATCTCAATTATTCATCCTCTTTTAGGATGAGAGAACTGCGCACTAGTGCCAATCTCCGCAGTGACTCTGGGGCTACTCCAGCGCGGGACAGGGAGGAGGAAACCTGGCAATGTGACAAAGACTAACTTTTCACCTGCTGAGTTTAGGAGGGCTCTAGTGCGTGCGGCCACAGGTTTTCCAGCACACGCTCCCTCCGACCGCCCCTTCCCGCACGCTCACACCTCCTTCCGGTTCGCTTCCTGCTGCGGCGCATCTGCTTTCGTCCAGGGCTACACGTCATCGTTCTCGCTTCCCTGTTACTAAGGCGATAGAGGGACTTCCCAGTGCGGCAATTGGGGTCTTATTAGACCACGGCGAAACCCTGAGGTGTGCTGGCTGCTGCTCGGCAACAGTCCGGCCGGCGCCGGGGCGTAATTTGGAGAAGAAACATTTAGAGTTGAATTTGGGTAAGCGTGTGACCCGAGCAGCTGTGGTTTTTAGCCCCGAAGCACGACTTCCTTGCCCTGTTCCAAGATGGCGGCGCGGCTTCCTGTTTCCGGTTATGTGCCGGGGAGACTCCCTTTGATTGGTCAGCGAGCGGGGCCGTGGCTGACGCACAGCAGCGCCGACCAATTGACTGAGAGCTGAGCTGGACTTGGCGGTGGAACCGGCCCTGAGTCTTGCAGCTGTGGGTGCGGAGGGCTGCGGCCAGGTAAGTGGGGTGCACAGGTAATGGGGCGCCGAGAGTACGTGTTGTAGGGGATTTCTTTAGGGGGCCATGGAGTTGCCTCTGGTTGAGGCCTTTTCCCTGTAGGCATAGGGAGCGAGGGAATGGGTGACCCGGGGATCCACTGAGAACGACGCCTTCCTCACCAAGAGGGAAATGTACTGACTTTGGCTCACCCCCGAGTTGTGGGGTACGGAAGAATCCAACCTCGTTTTACAGTTGAGTGACTCGAGATGACGGAAATGACATCTGCTTCGTGATACAGCTAGAACTAAACCCTAGCTCATCGGACTCTTCTGGAATTAAACCTTGCTTAGGTTTGTTAGGCTTGTGTGTTCTGCAAAGTTCTGGCTTGGTGGAATGAGTGGTTCAGATTTTTTCTCGCTGATAGACCCTGCAGGATCTTTTTGATTAATTCAGTCCGGATCTTCATTCATTCATTCATTCATTCATTCATTCATTCAAGTATTGGCTTCTTTAGACACCTTTCCCCTTTGATAATTTGATGTAAATCATCCGTCTATCTAGAAAAATGCACAGTTGCTATGCACACAATTTTACATACACTTTCAGAGGAATCGTTGACTTTCTGACATCCCCCTTAGTTCATGTGCCAGGGTTAAGAACCCATACTCTTGAAGTGGTGAGGGGTGGAATCAGAGGGAAATGGACAGAGCAAATTTTAATATGTAGATGCTTGAATACCCTGGATGGGGTCAGAACTTTTTTTTTTATTTTAAATTTTATTTTTATATTCCCCATAGTTACAACCCCCTTATTTTGACCCCAATCCCTCCTTTCCCCGCCCCCCACCCCCCATAGAGTGTCTCTGGTTCATAGTTGTTTGTTGATTTTGATATTTTCTTTTTTATAGTTATTCTTTTTCCTGGGTCAGAACTTTTTAATCATGAATTTTTTTTAAAGGTTTATTTATTTATTTATACATACATACATACATACAAGCACTGGGTACAGTCAGAAGCGCTGGAGAGTGAGAGAATTCACCAGAGCCAGAACGGGGAACAGAACAGGCAGACTGACGAAATACACTGCTTAGGGGAGCAGCGGGCGTGGCAGGAGAGGTCTGTCGTGCCATGTGGGACCCTCGCCGGCAGCTGGGGATCGAACTGTCGCTGCAGAGGCTGAGGGCAGCTTCGCAGCCCAACGCTCAGCCGCTGCGCCACCAGGGGAGGCCCAGTTTCCCCCCGCCCCCAAACAAATGCATACTTTTTTTTTTTTTAAGGATTTATTTATTTATGCATACATAGAAGAACTGGGGTACTGGCCAGAGATGCAGGGGGTGGGGAAGGGGTGAGAGGATCCACCACGACAGAGTGGGGAACAGAACAGGCAGCTTGACTGAAGTACACTACTGAGGGGATCAGCGGGTGAGACAGGAGAGGTCTGCCTCGCCATGTGGGTTTCTCCCTGGCTGGCTGGGGATCGAACTCATGCTGCAGAGGCTGTGGATTGCTTCAAGGTGTGGTGCCACCAGGGAGGTCCTAATCATGAAGTTTTCAAAGCAGAGAAACAGTCATGTAATGAAGTGTGTTGACTAATTTCACAATTACTGAGATTTGTTATATTAGAACTTTATTATCATTTAGTTATCCGTTTGCCACTAGGAAGCTGCATGAGTGCTTCAGGTTCCCTCTGAAACTATTTACCAGAAATAACAAATTGAGATCTTTAAATTTTAGTTGGAGCAAACATTGGAATTTTTGTGGTCTGATGTGTGTAATGGGGTAATTTATTCATTTGCTTTTCTAGCCATATTATATTATTCCCTTAGTCCAAACTAGTTAAGGTATGGCTTCTCATAATAACATGGAAACAACTATTTTTCACTGCACAGAGTGAGCACTCAAAGCCATTAATTTCATAGATTCCTTAATTTGCCTTCCCCCCCAGTTTTTTTTAGCCCTAGTGGCTGAAGTGTGTATTAACCTAGGTTTTAGGATGTAAACAGGAGATACAAGACATCCAATGGACTTTTCAAGATGGCCCTGAAAGAAAAGAGGGAAATCCTTGTCCCTTCTAAAGTTGAAGTCAAAGCTAAAACAAAGACAAAGCTGGGCAGAAAGATACCCACAAACACACCAAAAAGATCTGTTCATCACCTAACAGGCTCAAGACACTGGCTCTGAGTGTAGTCCAAATATTCTTGGGAAACCATCCCCAGGAGAAACAAACTTGACCACTGTGCCATCATCAAGTTCCCCCTGATCACCAAGTCAACTGTGAAGAAGAAAGGAGACAGTATACTTGTGTTCATTGTGGATGCAAGGCAAACAAGCTCTGATCAAATAGGCTGTGAAGAAGCCCTGGACACTGACGTGGCTAAAGTCAACACCCAGATTAGATGTGGTGGAGAGAAGGCATATGTTCAACTGTGTAGGGGCAGAAATGGGCCACTGAGTAGGTTTTCTGATCCAGCAGACTGGGTAAAGGAGGAGAGAGTCCTGGAGCCCTTCAGTGGCTTTTGTAGGCTTTTATTGTGATTTACTGGGTACATGGCAGGTAGGGGTGCTGGGGGGCCGAGAGGCTGGCAGGCCTCCCAGCCCCCAGCAAGTCTTCACTCCGGGCTCGCCGACCTTCTCTCACGTTCTCTCTGCTCTTCTCATGGCTCTGCTTCTCTCCTGGCTTCTCTGCTCCTGCTGCTTCTCTTCTCTCAGCTTCTGCTGGTGTCCCCGCGACACCACCCCTAAAAGCGCGATTTTAGCACAGGTGAATCCCGTCTACATAGGCCCACACGCTATTCCAGGTGCCCGCCATCAGGCATGCATTCAGGACCGTAGATCCGTTGTCTGTCCTAATGGCGGAGGGCAGAAAAGCCTGATACTTTTTACCTTACCCTACAAACTGCTTCCTGACTACAATGCTTTGGATGATACCAACAAAATCGGGACCAACTGTCTAGTTCTAAATACAAGTATTTTTACCATAAAATAAAAGGCAAAACACCCAATGAATTTGGCATTTTCTAGCTTTGTAAAGCTTAGTCATAATGACTAAGGCATGAGCATAAGCACTATGGTGAGGAGAGGGGTCTTGGTGAAACTTAGTGTGATTGCAAGCTTTCCTTGATAATTTTAGTAATCCCAAGTAGAAATAGTTTGGTTGAGTGTGGTTGCCAAAGTGGTGACTGTCCCTATTATGAATTGGATTCTCATCAGTATCCATTTCTTTTCTCCACAGTTAACAAAAGGAGCAGAGAAAGGGTATAAATACAAGGTGTCACTTTGTGGCCCTGCTAAACCTAAGTGGCCTGTTCAGCCACCATTTTTGTTAACTATGGTTCTGCTTTCCTATACAAGGTCAGAACTGCCCAGTCAGTTACAGGAGCCCAACCCTACAAGGCAGTCTTTCAAATCAAGAGCCAAAAGCTTGATCACCCTGGGAAGGGTATGCTTAATGAGGTGTGACCAAGAATGCCTGGGGGTGGGGGGGGTGGGGCTCTTGACTGATAAGGGACCCCAGAAGAAGCTGATCAGTGGAATGCCTTGATAAGATTGAAATCATGGCTGGGGAATTAGGGCTTGGTTTCAATCTCAATACTGAATCATCAAGCAGATGAGAAGCACCTGGGGAGCAGACTCACCACCCCTGAGACTGTAGATGACATAGCACATTTTCTAGTTTCATCCCACGCTTTTCTCTTTGTTCTCCTTCCCCACACAATTGGTGCTATATGATTATTCTAAGAATAAAAAGGATGTTGCTCTTTCAGCAACATC